AACACCATCACCATATAATGCATGAAGTAAACATGTTATACGAGTTTTTTTACCAACACCACTTGGACCATAGATTAAAAAATGTGGAAAATCACCACTAGCTACAATCGTTTGTAATAATTCTGCTTGTCCTAATTGATAATCAAGTTCATTAAATGTCTTAGGACGATATTTATCACACCAAAGACTCATCTAAAATCAATACAATTGATATACACGAATTTAACTATCCTTTTATTAACATTTATGTGTGTATATTTATTTAGAAACACACACACACACACTTCTATAGTTGCATTATAACAAAGAAAAGAAAAATAACCAGGGATTCGTCGTTGTAAAGAAAGAAAAAGAGAACGAAAGAAAATATTTCGATCTTCGTTAACAATTATAACGTAACTGAAGTAATATTTGGGAAAAGATTTTGTTTCAAAATAAAAAGAGCGAAAGATGTTTCGCAGTTGTCTTTGAATATTTAAGTGAATAATTATTATATGTTATTTGACTTAACTCTGTACTTCAAAGTGAAATACTATGTTAATTATCCGAGGATACTCTAATCAAATTAATCCATGCTTGTTTCATGTAAGATAATAATGTTTACTGTTACCGAATAAATATACGATACTTCAGTTTAATCAAATGTAGAAAAATCTTAAAAACTCTCATCACAGATTTTTTAATGTTTTGTTTTTTTCTAATACAAAAAAAAGCAATAAATTTATAATCGATATTAATCTAAATATCGATTAAAAATAGCTTCATATTTTTCTTGTTCACCAGATGTTTTAGCTGGTTCACCATTTTTCTTAGCAAATGCATGTAATTCTTCAAATGTTGCTTTTCCATTTGCAATTTTTTTACCCATATCTGTATCATCATAGGATGCATAACGTTGTTTAACTAATGCATCATATTTTTTATCTTCAAATAAACGTGCCATTTTACGTAATGCTAATGCAAAACAATCCATAGCACCAATATGTGCTATAAACATATCTTGAAGATTTGTTGATTCACGACGAACTTTACAATCAAAACTAAAAATTATTACAAATGAATATTTCAAATTGACAAAAGAAAGATGAAAAGTATACTTTAAACCACCAGGAGCAAGTCCACCTTGAGTAATAATTGTTCGCATAAGAAAAGCACAATCACGTAAATTCATTGGAAATTGATCTGTATCCCAACCAAGTGATGAATCACCAGTATTGGAATCAATTGAACCAAGCATACCATAACGTGAACACATTTCAACATCATGTTCATAAGCATGTCCAGCCATAGTTGTATGATTAGGTTCAATATTAAGCTAATCAAATTAAATATTAAATTAAAATAGCCACAAAAAAAAGAATTAGATCTTACTTTAAAATCTTTATCTAAACCATAATAACTAAGAAAACCCATGACTGTCTGTGCATCATAATCATCTACAAATGATGAGTATAAAAATAAAAATTAATAATATGAGTTGATTTACATTGATGTTTAGTTGGTTCTTTTGGTTTTGGTTCAATAAGTAATTGTCCTTTGAAACCAATCTTTTTCTTATGTTCAATAGCCATTCGAAAGAATGCTGCTAAATGATCTAATTCTTTTCGAACATCTGTATTGAGTAATGATATATAACCTTCACGACCACTAAATATTTATTCATTTTATTAGAACTCATTCAATTATAATAATAAATAAAATTTACCCCCAGAATACATAATTCTCTCCACCTAATTCATGTGTTACTTCCATTGCTCTAAGAAAAATATAGATTAAACTATTTAATTGATATTTTTTTGATTTTTACTTTTTAACTTGAGCAGCAGCATAAGCAAAAACATGTGCATCAGGGTTGGTGGCTGCACCATTCATATATCTTGGATGAGAAAATAAATTTGCTGTACCCCATAAACATTTAATACCCGTTTCTTTTTGTAATTGTTTAGCTAATTGAACGATTTCATCTAAATTTTTTTCAGTTTCTTCAATTGTTTCACCTTCTGGTGCAATATCTCGATCATGAAATGTAAAATATTTAACACCAAGTTTGGTAAAAAATTCAAAAGCAGCACGAAGACGATCTTTTGCAATTGTCATTGGATCAGATTGATGATCCCAAGGACGATCAAGTGTTGGTGAACCAAACATATCAGCACCAAGACCACGAAATGTATGCCAAAAACATACAGCAAAACGAAGCCATTCATGCATTGGCTTACCCAAAATAATTTCATCTTGATTATATTGTTTAAATACTAATAAATCATCTACAGATGCTTGTGGATTATATTTTATTGGTTTAATACCAGAAAAAAATTCTTTATTTCCATTAGTAGCCATGATTATATGCTTCTACAAAAACAAAGAGTGAAAATCAAATAATTATATCGACAAATGTATATTCGAATATGGTTAAGAGTGTGTTCGTTAGAGCAAAAATGAAAAGAAAAATAACAAAAGATAATGATACGTATGGGTTATGGTAATATAAGGATAGTATTATAGAATCAAAGAAAAATCGATTGGTTTATCAAATAATGAAATTTATTAATATATAACAAATTTCTCAGTGTAGATGAGGACGAGTGAGATTAGACTACATAGTTTTCAACATCTCTAGCTTTCAATGTTATTCAGGTGAATCAGGCAATCACCCATATCTGCTATGCATGTGCTTAATGAATGAAAAGTTCTATTAACTTTTGGAGTTTATTGCAATCTCATAGTTATTAACCCTCATAAGTACTGAAAATTGGCAGTCTTTGTAAAAATCCTATCGGAAATAACGATACTTAGTATTTAGTCAGTGCATTACAGAAAAATATAGTTCCTTATGTTTCAGTAAAACTTTGATTGTAATGTATGAAATTTTCCTGCTGATTGGCATAATATACCAAAAAGAAGCACAATTTATAATCGAAAATATTTAACAATACTCTTATCTTCCTTTCAAGGTATATTATTGACAAAAAATATCATTCTAAATTTATCTTTGAAATACTTCTATTTGAAAGTGAATATCTTTCTCTGTAAGATATATTTCGCAGTACATAAAACATAATGGTATATAGATGTCGCTATTACACATATCGTTTTTGATAATTTTATATTACATATACATAAATTCTTCTAAATTTCACTAACAAATGTTTTTCTATACTTAAAATTGAATTTGATTAAAAAAAAGAATTCTAATTAATTAAACCAATTTTTCATCCAATGATCATATACTCTACACGATGGCCATATGACACTCAAATAAAAATGGATGTATTGGAGCAATGGATCGTAGTTTCATATATATCTTACTTGTTTATTAAAACTTTATTTACTGATTTAGTATCTTTCACATTACTTCATATATTTATATATTTTATTTAGATAATAATATTTCCTCGTCGGAACAATGACGAAGGGTACACAATCATTCGGTAAACGTCATACCAAGACCCATAATTTATGTCGTCGATGTGGTCGCTCATCATATCATTTACAAAAACAACGATGTGCTGCTTGTGGATTTCCCTCAGCTAAAACACGTAAATTTCAATGGAGTGAAAAAGCCAAGAGACGAAAAACAACCGGCACTGGTCGTATGAAACATTTGAAAGTGGTCTTTCGCCGTTTCCGCAATGGTTTTCGTGAAGGTACAGTAGCCAAATCACGTAAAGGACAACGCCAAAATGCTGGTGCTGCAACAACAAGTGTTCCAGCAACAACAAGCAAATAAAAAATGAACACAATTTAAAATGTTTTGTTGTAAACCATTCGGTAATATATACCATTCATATAACAAGAAATTTGAATAAAAACAAAAAAACATCGTTTGTTTAATTATTTATTGTTTCTTTTTTTTGCTTATTTTTGCTTTTCTTTTTTCAGACAAATAATTGTGCTTCAATGATTTAAAACCTTTTATCTACTGAAAACACTATGTAGATTTAAAAGTTTATTGAATTTCTTCAAATGAGAAGCACATAATAGATTCTTTTCCTTAAGATTATTTAGGAAAAAAAAATTTTTTTTCTAACGCAACAAGGATGAACATAATTTTAGTCTCGTTCGTATGATAAACAGATGATTATTTAAATAATTCATTGACGTTCTGAGTTGTGTTATAAAATAAAATTAGGCTTCTCATTAATATAGATTGTCATCAAGAGAGAAATTCATCTCTCAGGCCATTATTTTCATTGTATTAGTAATCATTGAAGCCAATTCTTTGACCTAGATTCGATCCTATTTTTTTATCAATTCAAACCATTGAACTAATAATTTTTAAAATATTTTAGATGGAAAACATGTTTAATTCTTTAAAAAGTACTGCTTTAAGTATTGGTGAAGCAATGACACCTGTACTTAAACAATCGAAATTTCGTGAAACAGGTGTTATAACACCCGAAGAATTTGTTGCTGCTGGAGATTTTCTTGTACATCATTGTCCAACATGGAAATGGGCAACAGGTGATGAAAGTAAAGTTAAAAGTTATTTACCTAAAGAAAAACAATTTTTAATAACACGTAATGTTCCATGTTATAAACGATGTAAACATATGGAACATAAAGATAATTTGGAAAAAATTGTTGATGAAGAAAATGGTGATGGTGGATGGGTTGATACACATCATTATGCTGATAGTACAGTTACGGAAGTACGAGAACATGCTGGACAAATTGAATCAACCGGTGGAAAACAATCACATGTAACTGTTGAAGATGATGGAGAAGATGATGATGATGATGCAGCTGATATGGAAGAATTCGAACGTAAAGGAATGGTAATGAACGATCCATTAGAAGCACCATGTAAGATTTATTTAATACTATAAAATAATTTGAATATTGCATATATTTTAGCAACAACAAACTCTTCAGCAAGTGCATTAACAACAGATGATAATGTAGTACAAAATACATTACAAACACGTACCTACGATTTAAATATAACTTATGACAAATATTATCAAACACCACGTCTTTGGTTAACTGGTTATGATGAACATCATAAACCCTTATCAGTTGAAAAAATGTATGAAGATATCAGTCAAGATCATGCAAAAAAAACAGTAACTATGGAACAACATCCGCATTTACCTGGAACAGGACCAATGCCAAGCATTCATCCATGTCGTCATGCTGATGTCATGAAAAAACTTATACAAATGGTAGCAGAATCTGGCAAAGAACTTGAAGTTCATATGTATATTATGATATTTCTTAAATTTGTACAAGCAGTCATTCCAACTATTGAATATGATTATACACGTCAGTTTAATTTATAAAAATAAACAAACAAACAAGTCAACTATGGAACGGTGAAATAATAAATTATTTAGCTCTTATATAATTTCTTTTCTTTTTTTGATTTTCCGATGATTTCTATTTTCTTCATGTGTTAAGTCAAACAGAAAACAGTTTATTAATTTCGTTTTTTTCACTTTTTCTGTTCTCTCTATTCTATTTTTATTCAAATAAACATCTGTATAGTTTAAACATATATATATTCTCATACATTTTTGCTTGTTGGATAAAATAAAGAACAAAAAAGAAAATGAAAGAATGAATCTATGACGAGTATAGTCGACCTAATGTCTACCATTATGAATACGAAAAAAAAAAAAGAAAATTGAAGATATGGTAACAGAAGAAAATGTTCGTTCTCTTTTTTTCGAACTCGTTTATACTTTCATTTATTGTATAACCGCGACATGTTCATTAAATTGCTCTTTGTATGTCTTATACAAATATCAGTACAAATAGAAAACGAATATAAGTATTTAGGTAGGTAAAATGGCATTAGATAATTTCGAATTTTGAACTAATTTGTATTTTGTACGAAGGTCGACCATGTAATGTTAATCATTGTGATAACGAACATGTGTGTGTACGTCGAAAAGACATTGATTTACAATATCGTTGTGTACCAAAACCTTATTTTAAACAACAGTAAGATTAAAGCCACCGATATAAAGTCTTTCTTATTATATCGTGCTGTGATTTTAAAAAAACTTCAATTGATCGAATATCTTTTCTTTAGTCCAGAAAAGATTGCCGAATGGAATTTAAATCCATCATTAATGGATGAAATACTTGATGCAACAAATTGTCAATCATGTTTAACTGAACCATTAGATTATGTTTGGTAAAAATATATATTTATTCATTTTAATGTTTTTATATACATGTTCTTTTTATCTAGTGGCACTGATGGACGTGTTTATCGGTCACCTTGTTATATAAAATATTTCAATTGTTTATTAGATACAGATATACAATTAGCATGTCATAAAGAATGTCCATGCAATGATACAAGTGAGATTTAAATATTATTATGGATATTTTTCGAGAATATTTTTATTATAGATGTGGATAATCAAAATTCTGAATGGATGGTATGTATAAAATTATTTTTTCCTCGTCAAATTTAGGGTGCGGCTTCGGGATTGAGTATTTTCAAAATAGAGACTTCAGCTTAATTCTTGGGTTCTTTCGAAGATGTACGACGAATAAAATTCTCTATCAGGCTATTGTACTTTGAGATCTCATTTACGATATATGAAGAAGAAATACCTACGGGATTTGTCCTGCAATATATGTTGAGTGAGATCTGAAAATACAATAACCTGATAGGAAATTCTATTCTCTATTCATTGTACATCTTCAGAAGAATCCTGAAAAAATCCCGAAGCCGCACCCTAGTCAAATTAATTAAAGTTAATATATTGATTAGGATTTGAATATCAAAGAAAATATCATAAGGTAAATAAAAACTTTTTTTATTAGAAATAAAATTAAAATATATGTTTTAGTGATCCATTAGATGATAATAGTCCAGATGATCCAAGAGGACGTGAGAATAATGTTTTCATATGAGACTTCTGTTTCATCTTTTTCTTTTACTATTGATTTAGAATTTGATCAATGTTCACGATCTATTCATCGTGAATTACGTAATCGTTTTTTTGATTGGTTTCATCAAATTGAAAAACTTGAACATAAAAGTCAATATTATGGTAAAAAATAGTTTCTTTTTTTTCTCTATTTTTTCATCATTTATACAGGTTCAATTGAAAATTGTCATCCAATGGTTTCCTATATGTTTTATCATTTTGATACAACAAATGATTCGGAATTAAATGATGATGAATTAGATAGTATTGAACATTTAAAAGATGAATTATGTACGGATAGATTTTTTCAACGATGTGATCATGATGGTGATAAACGATTATTTCCATATGAATGGTGTAATTGTTTTCAATATGCTCGTAAAAGTTTTCATTGTAAAAATGTTTACTAAACTATCTTATTTTTAGTTTTACCTTGTGAATTATATAATCGAGATTTAGATAAAGCATATTGGAATAAATCAATGGAAGGAATATTTCGCCCACGTTGTAATTCAAATGGATATTATGCATCAAGACAATGTAGTGCAGATACACCTCGACAATGTTGGTGTGTTGATAAACATGGAATTGAAGTTGATGGAACACGACAGGATGATGATCATATGCCTCAATGTGGTATGTGAAGAGAATATTTATGATATATATATATTTTTTTTGTCTTTGAATTTTTAGATGAAATTGAAGATTCAAGAACCAGAAAATAATATGATTTAGATTTAAAAAAAATGAATAGATATTAGACATTAGAAAGAAAATAAAATTTGTTCAAATTAAGTATTCGATGAACTATTCAACTATGTAATCTTTTACTGACTCTCATATTTTTCCTTATCGAAAATATGTTGTATTGCTTGATTTTGTAGGTAAAGATTGAATTTTTGAACGTTATACCTAGAAATTAATCGATATATTTATGAATATTTACAAGAAAAAACTTATTTTGAATGAAAAAATAATTCATAAGAGAATTACCTCGATTTTCACATTATAAGATAGATTGTACATGAAAAAAATATCACTCTGACACTCACACATTTTTTTGTATTTTGAACTTCATCTGTTAATGAAAATGAATCGAAGAAATCAACGATGCAGTATATCATTTTTTAATTGCTTACGTACATTGATTGTTTTGCTATGACTTTTAAATAAGATATTAAGAATAGATCGCATGATGAACGGTATGTGAATTTAGTGGTATTGTTCCCACGCACTGAACTATATATAAATGAATTAATGTATTCACATGCATGAAAATAAAAGAAGGAAGATATTGGATAAATTTACAGGTGCATTTTTCTTTCAGGAACATATGTTATGTCAATTAATTTTTACTTCTTATGATAGACATTAGTTCACTTTTCAAACTATCGGTATATTAAACATTATTAAATGCTTGAGTGGTAATGGGAGTTTGTGATGCATTAAAATATAGGTAGTTTAATTATACACGATTTTTTATAACTCATGAGATACATCGTTCGAATTTTTATAAAGAAAATTCTATCGATACAGATATATGGTTCATAACCAGCTGTTAAATTGAATATTTTATTTCTCTATTTTTTGACTTCATAATAACAATAGTCGTGTACGTCATATTAGTAATATAACAGACAAAGTGTTATAACATTGTTCGTCATAGGTAAATCCCTTGATAGATTTTTTTAACTATAATGACGTTTTATCGGACGAACTCATATATTATTGATCATGTTCTTCTCCTGGACGAATAAAAGTCAAAGGTGTGCAATGCATTTAAGACTAAAAGTTAAAAACTCCTACATTAATAAATATTTTTCTCTGTTCTTTTGCTCCACATATTTAATAACTTATTAATTAAAATATCATACATTTCTCGAGACTATATGACTTTCCATTTTGATTACAAACCTAAATGTAATTATTTAACATACCATATATCATTTTCCATAGAAGTGCTCAATATTGAGACATTCTTTTTTTGTATCCATGATATTCAATTAATCAGAAAAGTTGAGTGAGCTGTAAAATAACCGGCGCATGATAAATATTTCAATATGTACGTGAGTTCATTTCTATGTATGGTATATATCTATTGATCATAGTAAGTCATACATATAAGTTATAAATAATAGAAAACACACGTTCGATAAATCTTTTTTTTTGTGACCATTTTAATCAGTTAGAATTAAATCATAAGCGTGTCATATATCTCTGATGAAAAGGAAACAATTTTAAATAGATTTTCCCTTATTTACTGTAATTATATACTTCTGAATTAGAAAAGTCATAGAAATAGACAAATATATATATCTATGTGTTCAATAGGACTGAGATCATTTAGTTCTAACAAAGCATTATACAATCGATTCTTTTATCCTAATAAAATTGATTTTATTATCTGACAAGAAAGAAAAAAACCCATCAGACAAACACTGTCTACTACAACAAAGATATTGATTCAAGGTATGTTGTTCTATTATTGTTACTTATTTATTATTGCGAAACCTATTTTACGTCTATTTGACAATGTACGTTATAAGAAATGAATAAGATTGATGAATAGTCTCTTTTCTTTTAATAAAATTACCATCAAATCAATTTTGATCAAGTTACAGTATAAGTTGAGTAAGTTACACAGTGTAGGTGGGCGTTGGATTTCAATATCTACTGACGTATATAGGAAAGAGATACGCAAATATCAATATGAAAATAAGCAGAAATATATATATATTTTTCAATAATTCTCATAAAAATAACCTCTTTCTTCTTTTTAAGAACTTACAGAATGCATTTTTATTACATTCTACAAATATTTCTTATATTCATATTCATACTTTCACTGACATCTGGACGTGTACTGTCCTATGACGAAATAGATTCTGACGACCACCCAAGTAAGAAAACGATTTTTTATTAGTTCATTTCATATAATATGATGTACATATTCTTTCGTTTAGAACAACATTCACAACTAGATATAACTGATACAATTGATAATACTGATGATGCATCATCTTATGAAGAAAGACAATTTCAGCAACGATCAATACTTGATACATCTCATTCATCGGTAACAAAACAACAACTAATGGATATACTACGAAAACTTTATAATCAAGGTTGGAAGCCTCCTAATAAAAATTATATTCCTGGAACAAGATTTGGTCGACATGGCGGATGATCTGTTATTGTTTTAGTCGTTTGTTTGTTTGTTTTTTGTATATATAGAAATAATTCATTTTATTCTATTGTACAAAAAGAAAAAAAAGTATATTTAAATATATGTATTGTTTTCGTCAAATCTAATAGTAATGATAAACACGTTGACTAATATCAACTACTTCAAATGGCCAATTAATTTCTTGTTTCGATAGAGTTTTAAAACATTGAATTTTATATGTATCAACAATTATACGATCAGATGAATTTGTATTAAGTAATTTTCCAGCAGTCATTAAATAATCACCTAAACAAAAAATCATATTATACAGTTTAGTCTTTTTTTTTATTAAAAATTGAAGATAATATTAAGAGTAAATATTGAGTAAAGAAATAGTATATCTTTAAATAGAAGTAAAATCATGGTGTATGTATTGACTCATTGAAATTAAAAATCGATAAATCATGAAGCAAACACTATTACATTTTGTTAAATGATTATGAATCATAAAAACCGCTATAACATGATTTATGAAATCTAAAGAAATTTAATATGGGATATGTCTGGGAATGTATGCAGAACAAGCAATTCAATTATAATCTAGACTCAAATGACGTTATTTTGAAAGTAATTGATATCAAGTCTTGTAAATGCTAAGATTTATTCGACATACAAATCATTCCGAAACTTCATTCAAATTAATTCACTTTGTAATAACATCATATTGACGTGATTCATCGAGCTTATAATGATAAAAAAAACTATTAGATTGTGTTCTTATTGACAAATCTATTACATCATTTTAGTGAATAATAGTGTAGTATGTCAATAAACCAACTAATCTTATCGATTAAAAACCCACAAGTATAGTTTTTTTTTATCTATAGTCAGCATGATATTACATTTTATGTATCATAGATAATTAATAGTAAAAAATATGCTATGATAGTCCATTCATAGTACTTACATAACATGTATGTATCTATTTTTTCCAAGATAAATATTAAATTATCCGATATTTACCTTCATTTGTTGACCAAGCATCTACGGCACGAGAACATTTTTGTAGTTCAGCTTGCCCTGTAGCATCTTCAATAATCATTAAATCCGCATTTTTATCGATCTATATATACAACAAATATTTCATTTTATAATTGATTCTATCGATTAATTCAAAACACAAAAGAAGCCGTCAAACAATATCTCATCTAGATCAGATAAAACACGGTCTTACAATGTCATAATGAGAAGACCGGAAAACATGTCAGCATAACACTTGATATCTAGTATGAATGACATCATCTGTGAACTTAAGTGATTTACAGTACATGTAAAAATTATTGTAGTTATGTTGTTATCTAACTGATACAATAACCCACCTTAATACAAAGTCCTTGTAACCAAACATATTGAAATTGATGAGTTTTGCCGTCATACATTAATGACCATTGATTTTCATTCTCAGAGATTTTTCTAGCTCGACGTAAATCTCCGATAAATGATTTTCGCCAAAATGTATCAATAAATTGTCCTGCCATTTTAGAAATGAAAAATCTATTCTTCAATTAAAACAAAAAAAAAAGTCAAAAATCTGCAGAAAACAAAACAGAACCGATGTATCATTAAAAAAGAACATAAAAATGAAAAAGCTTTAATTCTATCACAATAAATCATAAAAATAATCGAGTCCTTGACCACCATCCCAAATAGCAATACCAACATTAAGTTTGGTGGCTAATTCTAATCGTTCATAAATTGATTTCAAACTTGGATAAAAAATAATTGTTTCAGGTAATGGATGTTGTTGTTGTTTTGTGGGACGTACTTGTATAACAGTAATATGTTCACGTACACGCGGATCATAAATAATTGCTGATGTTGCATAGTTTTTTTTAAGAAAATCAATATAATCACGACCAACAATAGGTTTCATACCATATTGTTGTTGTTGATCTTTTTTTACTGCTGAACCAGCTCGATCATAACGATATCCATAAAAATTAAGACCAAGAAATACTTTGATTCGACCTTCATTCTCAGGTTTAGAAAATTTTTCCATTGTTGATTCAACCCATTCTATAGGAAAGAAAAAGTATTACATGATATTAATACAAAATGTTTATGTATACAGGTATTTAATATTTTAGAGTGAATTTTTCCACTGGCAGCTCTTTACAATATTTCTCATTTTAAATATTCCAGTTAAAAATAGACTTGTCGCGATGAAATGTTTACAATAAATTATATTACTTAATATATTTCCGATGATTGGTATAGAATAAAAGCGAAGTTAAAGTCATTTCGAATATGGTTTTACAATATCAAAAACAGGAAACTATGGAGATATATGACACGTTATATTTTTATAGATTCACCTTCAGTCAAAGTTATACTATCAAAAAAAGTCAAGTTTTACAATCTATGTACTTAAGATTTCGAGTTTAACCTTGTATTACGATACATAATGATATGTAAATAAATGTTCTATTTTGATCTTGAATCAGCTCTGGAAATATCAATTTATTTAACTAGTATAACTATATCCAATAAGGAAAGGAGCTATTCCTAATTAAATGTTATCTGATGTTTTATTTTGATTACTCCGTAACAATTATACTAATGAACTTTTATTTAGTTTTTGTGCAAGCACACAACATAACTTTTATACGATCGATCTTGTGTTTGAATACTTTTATTAAAAAAATGTCGAGCATGTATATTATCCATCAATTTTACAGCTTAGAAATCAAGGATAGTTCACTTTCTATTGTAGAATTAATTAGGCGCTGCTCCTCCCTATTGAACCAATGGTTTACTTTTGATTAAAAACTACTTTAGGGGATATTGAGAATTAAATATTTATTCTTTTTACATACCTAATGGAGCAACTGGTCCTGGCTCTCTATTTGGAAAATCATATGTCATAACACTAAAACCATCTAAATGTTCATATAACATTTCAAAATCATTCTTATCAAATATTTCATCATATGGTGGTATTGCTAAAATAATTTCTTTCTTTTTATCATTATCATTTATTTCATGAATATGTTCAGCAATATGACTAATAATATGATTAAGTGTTGGTTTTGATGTACCACGAAATTGCATAAGTATTTCAATAACATAACCATCAAATAAATCTTTATGTTCAATAAGAAATTTAGCAAATGTTGTTGCTAATTGTTGTTTTTCATCTTCGGATTCAAATAATGCATGAATATCATCAACAGAAAATTTTTCAAATATAACACGTGGTACAATACGTATTTTCGGATTATTTTCTTTTAATGTTTCAATCCATTTTTTATCAATATCTTGTGTACCTTCAATAATATATTTTTCGAAACCTGCTCGTTTTACACTTAACCATACAGGTGCAATATAATCAAATTTTTTTGTAAACATTTTTGCTATATCATAACCATGAGAATTCCATGGTGTTACATAAACAAGTGATGGATTATTAAATTCACGAGTTTCTGTACATGTTGCACAATAGGATTCATGAGTTTCAAGAATTATTTGAGGATTAATATTTTCTTCTACAAGACGACGTTGTAAAGCATTCGTTTTTGCCGGTGGAAATGCTTCAAATGGTGCTGTAGGCGGCAATGATTGAGCAGCCGGTGATGGTGTTGATACAACTTTTTCTGCTGCACGAGCTGGTACTTTACGACTACCAGGTCCTATTGTTGTTTCAATAGAACATATTAAACAGAAAAATATGACGAAAGAGATAGAAGATGTCATCTAAAATATATTTCAATCTTAATGTTTGTTGATATAGAAAATGAAATATCATTATCTTTTACTTACAACACATTTCATAGTTCTTTTTTTTTGTCTATGTAATTTTTAATATTTATTCTAGTAACATAACATGACAAATGGTAGAAAAAAGTCATCTGTTCTGCTTTGTCTAGGAAAGAATTTTACCACATTACTATTTTTAGTTTCCTTGGTGGCATAAAAAAAACAACCATTCATATTCTTACAAAAGAAAATATATTTCTATGAGTATTGATAAGAAAAAAGAAGCTAATAAAATGGCATTTTCTATGCAAATAGAAGATCTAATGGTTGTGAAAATTCTGAAAGATGAAATTAACTTATTTTGATTAATAAACAAAAATTCTTATTGTCCGTCTCACAATGAATATCTTATTGCAAGAATAAAATTGTAATACAAAAAAATGAAATATAACGAATAAGATCTGTTAAAAAAGATACAACTATCAACAATGAACAGATCTATAAATACTAAATAATAAAACAAAAATTAGAAAAAAAAAGAACTTCACAATAAAAATAAAATTATGCATTTAATGGCGTTGGTAATGCTGGATTTTGTAGAAAATTCATACGTTGTTTTTGTGTTCGAGATTCGGTTACCTGAAAAGAAAAGAATAATAACAATAAAATAAAAATGAAACTAAAGATTATTACTGATTTTTGTAATTCGGCTAATTCCATTGCTAAGGTTTTGATTGCTTTATTTGCATCATCCATTTGAAATTTTAATATACGACTATCTTGATCTTCTTTATTTTTATCTTCTTGTATATCTAAACTACTTGTTCGCATACGTGGAAACCAATCAAGATTTCGTTGCTAAAAAGAGAAAAGATCGATTTTTTGTATTTAATTTTTATTTTGTAAAATATCAAAACAAACTTCAATCATTTCATGAACATAACTTTCAGGACCTGTATATTCTGTTGGATCTTTAACATGAATTAAAACCATAAAATAAACATAATTCCACATATTATGAACTTTTTGCATATGATCTTCAAATGTAACATGTTTATTATCAAATGATTTACGATCAAGTCCTAAAAAATAAAAAAAATATTTTTTTAAGAATGAAAAATTTTTCGTATTATTTTATTATACCACAAATAAAACATGTATTACGAAGTACTTCATCATTTCGTTGTTTTTCTGTACGTAAATCAGCAAAATTATCAATAATAACACCAAAAATTAAATTCAAAGTTATAATTATAACAATAAAGAAGAACATCAGATCGTAAATAACACGAAAGAAATATAGTGGTTCCTAGAAAAAAAACAATAATCTTATTTAGAATGAAATTCAACAGTATTATAATTAGACATGTACCGCCCAGGAACGGATCTAGCTATTCGGCGACCGCCACCGTCTCAAAAATAGACTTTTCGACAAATACTGAGAACAGGTAGAAGACTATGGGTTTCTCTCCTAAAAAAATAATACTACTTTTCACTTTTTTTTATAAACCACCACCCCCTCATAAAAATCCTGGATCCGCCTGTAATTTTTTATAAGAAAGTTCCTCGTGAATAAATTCTTTTACCATAAATATATGTTAAAATGTTGATGCTTTCAGCTGTTACTTAATTAAAATGAATTAACTAATTGGTTCATTAATATATAAGCAATTAGTGAATAGCGGTCGTATTACATGAGGGAGAATTCTAAAACTTTGATGATAGACTGTGGGATTCGACCCATCCTATAACTAAATTAATGCTCAAGGATAAAACAAAGATTAATTTTGATTGTGATGCACTGTAAAGTCCTACAATATTTTTTGTCTCATATAATACTTTACTCCGACGATGGTATATTCGATTATCATCATTAGAAATATTTTTACTTACACGATTGGAGGGTTGTCTTAGAACATCTCCAATTCCACCACCATTTCGTAATCCTTTGTTAAGTGTTGTTACAATACACATAAATAATGTATCACAAGCGCGCTCAATTTCTTCTTCTTCAACTTCGACATGTACTATAGGCGGTGCTGGAGTAACATGAAGCACATGATCAGCTAATGTATCTTTAGAACAATTATGTTTTCTACAATATCGTCTATCAGTACTGTTCGAAATTGTTGTTGTTGCTAAAAAAGAAAGAAAATAAGATATTAGTATTTGATTAATATATATTTATAATGAATAACAAAACAAAACAACTAGAACAGATATCACTGACAACAATTATTTGACATACGCGTCAAAATCATTGTTGTAATCAAATGATTTGAACGACGATATCGTGTAGAATGTTTTCGTGTTTGAATATTTGTTAAAAAATCATCACGAAAAAATACGAAACCCACAAGAGAAAAAATATAGATAACTATAAGTGCTAACATCATTGTTAACAATATTGATTTGCCATTTCGTGTAACTGATTGTGTTATATAAGATAGACTTGAATCTCGAAAAACTATATTGTATAACTGGAAATATAAAATATTTATAGAAATCATAATTTAAAAAATAGTTCCAAGGTTAAAGAAATAAATAAATAAAGCTAAGCATTATTTATACTTACGAATTAAATTTGTTTTATTAGTTAGTGTCATATTTAAAGTTTGACCTTCAATTGTCAGTGTTTTTGATTGAACTTCCATAAGAAAATCATCTTGGATAAATAGATAACCACATATAGCAAATAAATATATTATAATAACAGCAAATACAGCTGTTAATATAACAGATTTAGCATTGCGTACAACACATTGAATAACATTCCATAAAGTATCTTCACGATAGACAACATCAAGTAGCTAAGCAAAGAATTAGAATACAACAAAAATACATAGACATTATAGCAACTACTCTTAGTAAAAATCTGATCGTACAGGGATACTCACCAATACATCCAATATACTTTCCTCATTAGCAAAATTCGGGTGTGGGTAAGCCCTTCTCTTATAGACGTATACGAGGTAAACGTTTTCATTACTCTGCATCTTGCCAGTGTAAGATTTCAAGATCCTGACCCAGTGATTTATCTAGAGGGAGGGCAGAGATGGCGACGCCCTCCCGAAGAACGATTCTGCCTTCCTGAGAATTGCAATTTTTGTGCTTATACTATGTATTTGCCCTCCAGAAATTAGATTTTCGCCTTCCGGGAAATCGCTATCGCACTCTCGAAAGGAAAAACCTAGACAAAACACTGTCCTAATCTTACTCTACCCTACGCGCGCTCTACCTTGACCCTATTCTATAGGGTAAGGAAGAGGGTCCCTGCACATCTCTCTCTCGAAGCAATAGATTATAAATGTACAATAAGCGTGAATTATCAATAGAATATTTGACTTACCAGTAAACTATAGAAAAATTCATGAACACATAATCCAAGTACACATAGAATTAAATATCCCACATGATAAACCAGTTGAAAATTAGATAAATTTTCATAACGTGATTTAGAAAATGTACCATTATTTCCCATAAAACTAACTAGAAATACTCCTTTATTCAATACCTAATAGAAAGAAGAAAAAAAAATGATTTTTATTTCCATATAAATATCTTCATACTTGTAACGTTCCCATAAACCATAGAGTTGGCCCAAGACCAACTGAATAAATAGATCTTAAAATAGCTGCAACAAAACACATACGCATTGATGTAACATTTGGTTTAAGTAAAATAGATACTAATGTAACAAGAAATACACTCCAGATAGCTGCCGATGCTCGAGAATCAAGATCTTTATATTGAAAAATAAATAATTATTATTTAGAAAAATTCAATTAGTTTCATTTTACCTTTTAAACCTTTATTAAATGGATAAAAAACTGCCACAAGTATATTAATAAAGACAGCAAAATTAAATGATATATCACTCCATAAAGACATATGTGATGAAAACCAATATAATGTTGGTTGATGCCTTAATTTTCTTTGCCATTTCATTTCTTCAAATATTTCAGGAAATTTACCAAAAAAATCTTTTACTTTTGAACCTTGTTGATCTTGTTCACATGTTAAAAAGACTTTTTGTTTTTTTTCATTTGTTAAAAATTCACATAATTGTGGAACAGGAAATACAACTAAACAAAAAAATTTTAAATAAGAAAAACTAAAAAAAATAAATTTTACTTGGTTCAATTGATCGATCATGTCGAATAATTTCAATTTCAGCTGTATGCTTATGATAATAAGATAATGCTTCATCATTTAATGTACGATGTTTCATTAAAACTTCAAGTTCTCGATGATGACGTGAAAGCTAAAAGAAAGAAAATACTCAAAATAAAATATTTCGAAAATAAAATATCTCTACTTGATATGCAAGAATATACATATTATGACCAACAGTTTGTGCAACATTATCAGAATTTTCATTAACTTCTTCTTCAAGTGATTCTTCAGGATTTTCATCTTTTGTCACTTCACTTTCTTCTTGTTTACCACGAGCATAAATTTGACAAGCAACATCAAGCTAGAAAAATCATATGTAAAAAAAGCAAACGAATTATTCGGTTTTTACTAATTGTGAAACTGGTGTAATATTTCGAAGAATACGTTCTGCATTTGTACTATCATCACGACTTTCCATAACAGCTAAAAGTAATTTTGATGCATTATCCTATGAAGAAAATTTTGTATATAGAAAATTTCAGATTGTTTTTTGTCGTTACTTTTAATTCAAGTACAAGATCATAATTTTTTTGATTTAATGGTGTTATATCATTTAAAACGATAGCAATAATTATATCGATACCATTTGACTCATGATTGACAATTGCATCTTGATTATCGTGACAGGGTCCTTGACAATATTCAGTTAATGTATTTAATGCTTGATTAATTAATTCAACATTATCTTCATTTATATAATTTCCTAAGAGACCTAGTAAACCTGTTTGTGAACCACAAATAGCATCAAGAAATTTTAATGTTTCACAAACAAGATTATAATTTGTTTTATTATTATCTTGTAATCGTAGATAATTCTATTCAAGAGAGAAAAGAGAAAATTTATAATAAAATACTAATTAAATATCCATACTTGAAATTCAGGATTATGATTTTCACAAAGTAATTGTAGAAAACGTAAAATTGGTTGCATTATACGAAGTTCAAATGCAAGTTTATGACGGCGACTGTGTGAACTAAAAAATAATTAATAATTAAATATAACACGAGAGAAATTTTTTTGTAAATTATTCCTTAGATTCTTCTCAACATTATCGAATAATACTGAATTTTTAAATAGAATCTAACAAGATGATTTCAGTTAAGTTTAAGTGTGCTCCAAATTTGGAGTTTACAGATATCTAAGTTTCTGCGAAGAACTATAATCATTTGTTTTTGATTGCTCTAATAGATACTATAGACTGTATTGAGTTGACTGGTGATGCTCAAGAGAAAAAAGCATATAGTTACAAGTAGACATGACCCAAACCCAAACCGTTTCAGAGTTTGAGTTTGGGTTTGGGTCTACTTTTAATTGCCATCAGTGTATTCAAAATAGTTCCTTTTACAGATTAAAACAGCACAAACCCAAACAGTTTGGGTTTGGGTCATGTCTAATTACAAGCTATTATTTGTCGAAAAACTTGGAACTCATAAACTTCAAATTTAGAGCTCGCTTATCTTGGCTCTTTTTTTCCAGTTTTGTTACTTCAGATATCTCAAATGATTATTCTTTGAAAAAGGTTAACTTTCATCAAATATTATCTTAACAAATATCCTATTATATAAAAATCCATACTGAAAATCTAAGAGATCAGATCCTGCTGTTGAATTTCTTGCTTGATTGAATTGTGGTAGCATTAGACTTGCCCCTATTGAAGGTGCTAATGTTTGTGGTGAGTCTATGTCTTGAAAATCTATATAAAATAAAATAAAATATTCTAGTTTACAAATTTTTGGTATTCAATATACTTTGATTATTATTAAGTAAAGGTTGAAATGAAGTATTGGATGATTGATCAATAGTAAAATTTTCATCTGTTGGTGGAGTAAGTGATGGTTTTCTACTACTCATACCTGGACTTAAAAATGATGAAATCATAGCAGATTTTGGTGTAAATATTAAATCATCGAAATCATCATTATCTTCAATCATATCATTTGTAATTGATGACATATTTTTTAAAGTTTTTTGTGCAATAGACATTTTATCATAAAAAACTTTAAAAAAATTTTCTGATTCTGATTCATCCCCATGTAAACGACGTAAAATACTTGTCTAGAATATTTTTTTATTCAATTAAAACTTATTTCGATTGATAGAAAAATTCTTACTTGAACTTCTGTGTTTCCACCTTCAAGTAATGCAATAGCTAAATGTATACTTTCTTCGAGAATATTTACTGATGATTGACTAATAAATAATTCAACAACAAGATCACTAGCACCCTGTTTATTTAATTCATTTTGTATCAGTCGTAATCGTTCAATAGCATCTTCTTCTAAAATAAAATAAAGATTGAATATTTTTTTTTGTCGATTATTTAAGATATTTCGCACAACATAATTCTTGCCGAAAAGTGGTAAACATCCTTTAGTTTCGCATAGTATTAAAGGAATCATCCGATTATGAAAAGAATCGAACAATAACGAGACTATGCCATTAGATAGATTCGAACAACAAATTATTCGTCTAAAACAATTGAACTATTTCAATATACCTTTCAGTGCTTGATGCAGCGATTTTAAATATTGTTTATCATCAGAAAAATAACGTCGAAGTAATTTTAATCTTAAACTTTGCCCCTAATAAAAAAAAATAATAATTATTAAAAAATTTCGAATACATAAATTATTTTGATTTTATACCATTGTTTCAAATTCAAGATTAGTTTTAACCATTGATTTAAGTGCATGCATAATACGTAAACATAAATATTCATCTGTTTGTATAAGTAAATATTTTGCATGATGTATAAATCTATTAATTAATAAGAAATAAAATTTTTATATATGTTTATATATGTATATACTTATGAACTAGTGTTCCTTGGAGAAATTTTAGTCGGTATTCATTTGTTTCAGGGAAGAGTGCAAACGGTGCACGAATAACATCGACAAGTACACTATTTTCTGCTTGAATCAATGGACTAAGTCGAATACTAACTTGAGATAAATAGTCCTATATGTATATGTACAAATTGATTGTATTTTATATTAATGAATTAATACTAAATTACCACAAAACTGTCAATAACACGTTTGTGTTCCAAATCTTCGGAATGATTTTGTTTATCTAATAAATCATCACTACTATATCTTCGTTCTGATGCATTACTTCGACTTGCATGACGTGAACGAACAGTTACTGATTCACTCATTGAACTATGATTTGAACGTAAGAAATGAATAAGACCACGACGATCAGCTAAAGAAAAACAAATTATAATAAATGAGAAATTTAATTGAAAATCTTATTTTTACCAATTAATGCTATTATATGAATACAACGGTCAGCACGTTCACGTTGACTTGATGTTAACCATGATACACTTAACAATCGTGTTAAATGACCATGAAGTGATACAAGAGTTGTATTTCGATGCTAGAAAATATTAAGTCATAGAAATTAGTATTAGTTGTAATTATGAGAAACAACAAATCAAAACAAATCACTCATGCAGAAGAGAAGTAAACGGACGCATTCTGTTATAAACCTACATTCACATTACTTACATGATTTTCAGTGTTATCTGTAATCTGCAATGAGATATTATATATATATATATAAGACATGCATAAAATAAAAACATAATTTTTTTTCTTATTTCTGTTAGTAAGATTTTTTTATCATTCAGCGAAACATTTTTTTTTCTTATTATTATTATAAAGTACCTCCCAAGAAGCAATTATCGATGGTGCGATCTCCGTTGATCGACTATCATCAAGCATATACTGATCCTAAGAGCATATTTTATTGATGAAATAATTAATTTTTATTATGAGATATTAATATGCGAGTATATTGGTTAAATAAAAACAAAAAATAAATTTAATTATGCTTACTTGTGGTGCAGAGGATTGTTCAAAAAATGGTGAATTAAAAAATTGTGTGATTAAATCAATAACTGTATCCAAAACATATTTGTCTAAAGTGCGATTTTCACCCGGTTTCAAAATTACCTAGAAGTAAAAAACAAAAGGTTAAACAAAATCAATCTGAATTCGTTCTTTCATTGCTACTACTACTAATGGCAAGTTATACTAGATTGTCGAGTTTCGAATAGTATTTTCAATGGATTAATTGTTAACACTTCAATATTAAATGATCTAATCTCATGTTTGAAAGAGATTGCTAACAAAATCTTATTGTTAGTTTATGTATATGAGCGTAATTCTTGAAAAGAATCAATGCGAAAAATCCTAGGGGGAAAGAGCGGAATCATGAAAGATTTTATGGAATCTTCAGGAATCTTCGGGACGTGTTTTTGGAATTCGGGTAACGTTCTTTCCCCTTGAAAAAATCAATGCATTTAGAATTATTTTTCGGGATTCTCAAATTTCGCCAATAGCGAATATCCTATTGGAGACGAGACAGTAAGCCTATTTCTCGATGTTTGTTGTGATAAATACATGTACTAGAAATTGTTTTCTACTTACTTTATCAATATCAGGACAAAAAGATTTTTCAATTAATGTGTAAATATGTTGGCTATTATAAATTTCTTTCATTTCAACTTCTGTATCAATATAACAATGATTTAAAAATGTAATATAAACATTCTTAACCTAAAAATAAAAAAAACCATAGATAATAATCAATAGATTTAAGAAGTACAAACTTCAGGTATACAATCTGGATGTGTAACTATTAAAACAAGATCATCAAGACCAATTAATGAATGACATTTGATTTCTGTAGCTGCATTTTTTCCTTCAGTACACATTGCCAATAAATGAACAAGTTGAATATGATAATTTAATAATGAATTTGTATCTGTACGTTCAACATCTGATTGCATACGTGCAACAAGTTCAGATAAATTTCCTTTATCATAAAACATTAATACTTCATCCGATGTAACTAACTAAAATTACGAACAAAAACAAATAGAAATTTTTATAATTAATTTTTCTTACTTCAGACATAACAATATCTTGACAATTTTTAATATATTGATTTTCCGCTTTAATAATTGTTTGAAGAAATTTAATAAATATAACTTTTCGTCCATGTAATTCAATCAAATGAACAAAATGTTGAATATGTTTCTCAGTAATTGTTTTACATAATTGAACATTATTAAGAAATATATAACAACATGTTTCGACTTCTTGTTCCTAATAGAAATAACATAAAATTTATTTATTAAATAAGATTCAATCTTACCTCAGATAATTGTTGATATTCATTAAAATATAATTCGTATAATTTCGCTTGATTTGTTGGATTTGCATAACAAAAATATTGTAAAAGATTATGAGCTAATTTCATTATATGATTCATTCGAGTATCTTCAGACTGAAAATTTAGAAAAACAAATGTCTAGTAAAACAAAATCTATTTTTTTACCTTATCATATGGGATTCTTAATAGATCAAGTACGACAACATGTACATCCATATTTCTTAATAGACGTTGTTCATTTTCTCGAGCATATAAAGTTCCATCATAATTTTCCAAGACACATAATTTTATCATTCGACGAAGAATCTAAAGAAATATTTCATTTAGAATTTCTTAATAGATATTTTTGATTTTTTCATCTTTTCCAACAAATCATATTTAGTTCACACGCGCAAACTAATGAATTAATATAACTCCATGCGTATCTATTCTGTTGACATAGAAATAAATCATATTGAAACTATATTTTGTTTTCACAGCAACAGATCAAAGTCAAAAAAAAGGGACAAATCATGCATGTCATAGATAAATGAAAAAGGAAAAGAATAAAGCATTTGTAGCTAATTTTAGCGTATAGAATAAAGAAGCACTTGAACCCAAAGTGAAGGAAAAGAAAAAGAAGTGCAATATTACAAAACGTATATATGATTTTTACACGTATGAAAATCCCATTACCGTGTCAATAAACCTATGTATGTCCTGTGAAATATGACATATAGAGACAAAGAAATGAATTAATAATGTCATGTTTAAATCTAAATTTTTCGCGTGCAAAGTTAATACAGTAGTTAGAAAAAAAACTAATTGAGCTTGGTTTTGAGTTGTTTTGTTATTTTAAAGTAGGGAAAGAGATCTTATGAGCTCTACTAACCTGAAATATCGATGTATATCGATATGCTGAATGTTCATTGATAGTCGGACCGCCAGTATCGAAGTCTGTATCAGTGAGACCAGTCGAAGTAACCAATTTCTTCAATCAAATAAAGAGACGATTAAATATAGTTTAATATGTATATCGTTTTAGTAGTTAGTGACTAAGAAAAACGATTTCGAACTTATAATTATATTGAAAATATATTCAATATAATTCAAATCAGCTCAATTACACAAATCCAGCCAGATCATCAAAATTGTACCAATAGATTCTCGAAATTCCATTGGGACTACATTGACTGATGAATACTCATCTTACTTTTACCAGTATATTGTTTGAATTTTTTCTATTGAATAAACAAATCTTGTCTCCTCATAATAAGAGACCTTACTATAATACATATTTTCCATCAATTTTAACTAAAAATCTCTCGTATGTTTTTTTTACACATTTCCAATGTGTAAAGTCTTCCTTTAAACAGAAAAATGAAACTGTAGAGAATAGGCAATATTAACTAAAAATAAAGTAAATTATTAGACTCAAAGGAATCATAATTCATCTATTCGAATTTAGAAATCACAAGAACGATTTTTTTTTAAAAATTATACATGCGTCTAAGATTAAACAAATTCTTTCATATGTATACCTTTATTTCTAATTCATCATATTTTCTATCATCTTGATCAATATTAGCTTCATTTCCATCACTAGTTAATGTTCCATCTTTTCCTTTTTTATAAACCCATAATTCCGATTTTTCAACAAATAATCTTAATTGATCTAAATCTTTTTTAATTTGTTTATAATTTTGTATATCAGTTTCACTAACAAGTAATTGTACTTGATTTAAATGTTGTAATGTTTCTTTACGTTGATTAAAATGTCGAAAAAGTAATGTTAATGCACGTGATACTAACGGTTGATAATCATGCATACAAAGATTAAGTAAAACTTTAAGAAATGTTTTCCCTTTGGCATCATCTAAATCAAGATTGGGTTCATTTGAATCAAATATACATTCAATATCAGCTGTTTGAAGTAAATTTGTTAATGAATCTAAAATAACAAAACAAAAATCGAAATAACAACATAAAATTTCCATTTTTAAACATACCAATATGGTCGAATTTTTGTTTAAATATTGAAATTAAACGTGATATACGGAAATCAAGACGAATATCAAGAATAAATTCAAGTATTGCCGTAACATTCATTTTTGTTTCATAAGCAAGATCATCAAGTAAATCAACTGGTTGTTCTACATTAGCATCATTTACAGAATATAAAGTTGGTGGTATCGCCGGTTCATATTTTGTTTTTGATCCAATTGTTGGTGTCACTAATTATCCAAAAAAAAGAAAATAAGAATAATTAATTTTTAGTATTTATATTTAAAACAAACGTTGTTCTGAACGTGAGCTTGTTTTATTTGTACTTATAGCTTTACTTGAATCTAGTATTCCGAGAAGTGTTTGAGTTAATTTAAGTAAATCTTCAAAACTATAGAATCCAAAAAATATTAAACGACGAGCTAAATTAACCACCTAATAAATAAAAAGATAAAAAAAAAGAAAATAAGAATTGAAATATTTTACTTCATGTGTTAATTTATTTTGTTCTCGATCTGAAAATGAATTTGGTTGTTGAACAACAGTTTTAAGATAATCTTCAACAAATTTCATTGTTGATTCAAATTTTATACGATTTTCTTCTTTTTCGGTTGGTTCAAGCGATCCACTTAATGTTTGATCATAACTAACGAACAAAAAAAAAAGAAGAATTTTATTTATTTACAAAAATATAACTTACTCGCTTAAAGATATCGATGGTTTAACTTGATTCCATAATCGAGCATATTTAATACGTGTTACTTCTTCTTGTGGATCACGATTCACATGTATATGAATCATTAGACGACAAAATGCAGCACGTAAATCTGCAGGAAGATTTTCACTTTTTATACACCTAATTATAAAAAACGAACTTTTTATCTGATACAATATTTCAATAAAAGAACTTACGTTAAAATGAGTTCTATCGGTAATTCTAACGTCAGATTATCAATTGCAAGATATTGCCGATCAAAACACATATGTGAAAATAGATTCAGTTGAAACCTAAGAAAAATTGAAATAGGTAAACATTTTTTTATAGATTATCTCTGTACAGTTGGCGATTAGAAAAAATGCCGTACTCTCCTATAGATATGACCCAAACTCAAATTCAACCTGTTTGGGAGTTTGGGTTTGGGTCTTCTTTTGATTGCCATTAATGTATCCAAAATAATGTCTTCCAATGATTAAAAAAGTACAAACCCAAACTGTTTGGGAGTTTCGGTACTAAATCCAAACTCAAACTCCATACCCAAACTTAAACAATTTGGGTTATGCCTAGTACCATACGGCAAAATATTGCCATTCGGTTTCTCAAGGATTTTATCGTCATAATATAATAATGAAAATTTTACCTGTAATATTCAAGAATATTTTTAAATTCGTCTCGTCTTGGATGTACAAGCTGATCTCTGACAACACCAGCCATGAATTCAATTGATTCTGCTTTGCTATCCCATGTCAATATAACCTCATGTAATAAATTACGGTTAGAGAATTTAGTTGGTGTACTAATATTATCATCCATGATTGTATCTTCAATACATCCTTTTGTTTCAAGTCTATTGGTAAAAATAAAAAATTATTTTCAAAAAAAATTAACAGAAATAACAAACTTTGTATGTATTAAAATATCCGAATTTTTTTCTAATACAGATTTACATATCATTTCTTGTGTTCGGGCTATAGCTTGATTACTTGATACACATAGATCTGATAAATATTCTAAAAATCTTCAAAAAGAAAAATAATAATTTTTTTTTGCTTTTTAAGAAGAAAAGAACAATTCAAATTTACTTGCAATCTCGTTTTTCTCGTACTAATTTAACAAATGTATCAATTTCTTTTTCTGTTATATGTTTTTCTAATAATTTTTTATTATTATGTAATAATGCTGTTATAGTATCTTCAGCTAATATATCATAACCAATTTGTGATTGCATAAATGAAAATTCTTTTGCAATTGTTTCCTTTTAAGAGAGAAAAAACATTAAAAATCAATATATATATTTTATCTACTTGATTTTTTCGATATTCTTGTTGACAATGTTTAAGTACTCGATAACAAAGACGACAGATTGCTTTCATTTGATATGTTGTTGTTGAATAACGTATATCAGCATCTTGTTGTTGTTGTTGTAATGATACATAATGATCATTACTTGATGCTACAGGCGAACTACTTGAATAATAATCTGAACTTCTCGAAGAATTTGCATTTGTTCGTTCTAATTCTAAACGTGGTTTTAGCACTCGAAGTAAACGAAATAACTAGCGAAAACAAAATCGTTATTTTACAAAAAATAAAATAAATTCTATACCTGTTTGAGAATATTTTGTTCACGAACTAATTTTTGTCTTTCACGATTCGGTTTTAATACTTGTATATCAAATGCATCACTACCATTATTTTCTTGACAAGCAAGAAAATAAATAATATCAGTTAATAATAAGATTATTTGTCTAAAATAAACATGAAATTTGTATAGAAGAATATAATAAACAAAAACTTACTTTCTATCATTAGAGTGTACATTCATAATTCCGATTTGTTCCCATTTCGATACTGTTATATCAAAATGTTGTGCAGCATCATTAGCAAAATCTAAATCTCGTACTTCATCTGGTGAAACATGTACGATTTGAAATGCTTCTTTATCTTCTTTTAATGATGCACAACCAATTTTAAATCGTACATTATCATCATCAGGATCTAACTTAAGATTTGTTGAATGTACCCATGTATTTGTACATATGTGTTGTAAACGTACATATGATCCCCATGGTACAGCATCTTCATTACGTGTTATAGTTGTTGGATCAAATTCAAATATTGATGATATATCATAACCATGTGGAATAGGTACAAGTGCAAATACTGGTGTACTTGATGTACCACGTAATTTTTGTCTTGTTAGATCAAATGTTAGATCAAGATCAACTTCCGCTGCAAGATATTGTCCTGTTGCTAAATGTTTAAAACGAAATAATGAATTCCAATGACCAACACCACCACGACATGGATCTTGTTGAACAACTTCAATTTCCCATAAGGCATTCGATGATGTGGCCGATGTAGCTGATGTACGACCAGTAGCACGTAGAAAAACGACACTTTTCTTTCGATAATTATCACAGGTTAAAAATTTTTCTTGTTCAGCATGATATAAACGAACAATATCACCCTACATTATTGAATTTATTTATCTTTAGACGATAAAAATAAAATTTTGCTTACACTCTTCAAAACTTCATTTGTTGCTTCATGACCTGATACGAATAAAACAATTTTCCAACTTGTTTGAATATGAGAATTCACCTAATAGAAAAATTAAGAAAAAAAAGTTTAAAACAATATAAGCAAGATTAAATAATTTATCGTGCAGGGAATAAATGATGAATTTGAGCGTTATTCTATTTTTAGTTATGAACGATTAGTTTGCTAACTAAGTAGATTTTTCTTTTCAAAAATAAATCTATTATTAGAAAAAAAATCTACTTATAAGCAAAAGAAAAGCACTGTATTTTTATGCATATTAAAACAATAAAATTCTTGTCAAAATAATAAAGCTATGGGTACACATCAAACATACGATATTAAACGAATAACAATTGATCTAAATAATAGACAAATCAATCACATACACATGCATACTAAATATTCACTGCAAATGGAAGGAAAAAATTAATTTTTATTTTTGTATAACGGTACATTTGATACCGTATTAAGTTTAATAAGACTGCAACACTAGAAGAGAATATTTTTTTTTCTCTCTCGTTCATTTCTCATATATAGAAAAAAAAACAATAACTCGTACATACTTCTTTTGATCCCGGATGATCAGGTAATTCCAATTCACTGACATGTAATGGTTGCCCACCACTATATGGCATCAATACAACTTTATCACCAACAACAACCTATAATATATAGATATCTTTTTTCCGTCTGTCTTTATAATACAATTACATACACGTTCTCCTTTTGCACGTAATTTATAATAAGGTTCAATTTGAAACCATGAACCTTCGGTTCCATTAACATCCAAAGAAACACGCATGGCATTTTTTTCCAAAAATGCAGGTAAACGTTTATTAACAGTTATATATTTATTACTTTTTATATGAATTAATTGTACTATTGTATCACCATATTTAATAATTGTTCCACTTTGTTTTCGACTTTCTTCTTCATTTTGTTTTTTTTCTGTATCAGCAGCTACTTGTAATTTTTTTAAATCTCGAGCTGTATTAGGACTTTTTAATGCATTCCAATATTGTGTTTGAGCACTATACCGATGACTTGGACATATACGAAAGAGACAATCTATTTCAAAAGGCAAAATTGAATACACGTTTTGGTTTTTGCTTTTAGGTTTTACCTCGAAATTTTTTAGGGGGTTTCTGTAAATCACCGGCATCGGGTTGAACAACACAACGATCATCAACAAGACTAATTTAAAAAATATTTATAAAAAAAAAAAAGTAAGAAATAATCATACCCAAGTGTACTTATAAATCCGCAAACAGCACCTTCAGCATATAAACCAACTGTATCACCAATTTTAAGAAAACTTGAGGTTAAATTTGATTCCATTATTCTATATTGATATCAACTTGTTTATCTATAAAATAATAAAAAAAAAATTTTCTTTCTTTCTTTCTTTCTTTAACCTTATTATTGATAAAAGACAATGATTGATTAACAAAACTCATATCTATGTAATAACAATAAAAAAAGTTTTTTTTTTTATTATCTCAAATGAATTGCCATCAATTCACATGATATACTCTAAATGCTTGATGTGTATTTATTAATACCGGATTTTATCATAAGAGCTAAATCGATTATATAATGACATTAGTTAGCTTTCTCACGTTTATATTCTTGCTTACTAATAGAATTGATAATAACATTGATCATCTATATCCGTATGTTCTATAGTCTGTCTGTCTATCGATACTATACATAATTAATGTCTAGAGATCACAGAATGATAATATTATCGACGCGTCTTAAATCAGTTGCCTGTCGCTAAGAAAGAAAAATGCACCAATTGAAGTTTCACAAGATCTATTTGTTATCTTAATATAAACAGACAAGGATTTTGATGTAATATAGTACAGATGTTAGTCATCAAGTAGCATTTATAGATGTAGGCAACTAAGAAATCAAAAACAACCTGCTGAGTAAATGATGTACATATATATTTATCCTTTGTTTTTAGCATAAGCGAAAAGAAGAGATAATAAAAGGAAACGATCTTTTGTTTTTGATCGATAAGAATAATAATAAAGATGTTTATTTTTTTGTACTATACCTTTAATAATCGTATTGTATGGAATTGTTAATAACTATCATCGTCAAATAAAATTAAATAAAATGGAATGATACGAATGCAGGAAAAAATTGATATCTAAAATTATATACATGTGTATATAAATATAAATGAAAAGTCTTTTTTCCTTGAGATGTATATATATATATGTAAAGCTGTATAAGAATAGAAAAAGCATTGCATATGTCAGTAAAAATTCATAAATTGTTTCAAATATTATAGTGAAGAAAAACTCAAACTATGTATTAATAAATAATGAGTAAAATATTCAGTATTAGACTTTTTTCATAATCAACTTGATTGCCATCTGTAAAATTTCTGTTTTTCCCTGGATCCATCGGGAAAAATATGTCACCTGACTTTCGAGAACAACATGTTTCTTATACCAATCTGTTGCACTTTGGTTCTTGCCATTTACATTTTCATTCTGCCAAATTTTGTTTGCCTCCGGACATCATACACTTAACATTCTATTATATATTTCCTTTTTTTTCAGTAGTGTAAATAAATTTGGCTTCGATGGTGCTTTACCATATATAAATGATATTCTTCAAGTGTTAATGTATTGAAACATACATTCATCATGCACTTTTTTTTTGTTATTTACACAGATTCATCAAAACATAATTAAAATAGAAAGAAAGAATAGAGAAAAGAAATTTATTAGTTGTTTGTATGTATATAGATATTTGAATGTATTTAAGCATTATTATTAGATGCAAAAAAATATAGTTATTAGAGTTGATTTAAGAAAAAAAAGAATATATATCTGACACAATTTAGATCAGAGACAAAAAAATAAACAAGTACAAAATAACATATATATCTGACAAAATTTACAAATTTTATAATCTCGTCTCGTTTTTAGTAGATAAATAAACGATTTGAATGTGTATATTTCTTGAAAAATTGACGCCCATCATCAGTTGGTGCCGAAAAAGCCAAATCAGGACGTTTAATAACAATACCAAAGAAAAAATTTGTTCTAAGAAAAAGAAACACTATCAATCAGTTTTTGGTCAAAATAAAAGTCAGCATGCTGTTATGATAAAGTCAATTAAATTTCGTAAGATCCGACTTGGGACTACTTCTAACAAGAATTTTATACGTAAAACTATCTCTCTGTCGCACTATCTATATATGAAAGAATTGTATTTTTTCGAGTTTTCTATTCGATAAAATTTTAGTAAGGTTTAAAATAATATTTACCGAATACAATCAAGTAATTTCGTTGCAATACGAGCTCGTCGATGATCAGGATGTACCCATATACGAGCTATACCACACATCATTTTATCCATCTCAGTTTGTGTGTCAATATTTGCTTCATCAGTTAAATCAAGAACATGAACCTTTAGAAAATAAGAATAAACATTAATACAAAAGAAAAAGAAAACTAATTACTCGATGAACAATATGAGCAAGACAATAACCAAGAACAATATCAGTACAATCTTCAATATAAAAATATGCCTGAAAGAAAATAATAATTACAATAAAAATGAAACAAGTTTTTTCTATACTTTTGTTTCACTCCATAGACAATTGAATGGTGTTGTAATTCCTAATTCATTATCAACTAATTCTCTAACATGTTCAGCTTTTTTCTGTTCAGCTGATGGTGATGTACATCCAATCATATAAATACTTCCATCAAGAAATTGTTGCAATGTATGTTGATGTTTAAGATTCTTCATAAAACAAAAGAATAAAATTAATTTTCCTTTTGTTTAAAACAACTTACTCGTAACCGTATTGCAGATGTTGTATAATTATGATATTTTGCATGAGCTGCTTTATCTTCAGCTGAATGCGGAAAATAAGCCATCCCACATCGTTTACATATAATTGCATCAAGCATTTTTTGTCCAGCATCCTATTAACAAAACTATTATAAACATATTTAAACTTAAGATAATAATACGTACAATAAGTGTTTGCTTGAGTTTTGGTTCATCATCATTATAAACTTTACGTGGTTGCTATATGAAAGGAAAAAAAACATTTAATTTTTCAATTCGATATTGATAGATACATACATTTCTAAGTCGTTGTTTATAAGCTTTTGTCTCTTCATCATCTTCATCTTCATCATCTACTTGTATGAGTGTTTTTTTAATTGATTTCGCTTTTCTTTGTTGTCGTTTTTTTATTTTTTCTGGTGTTCCAGAAATTGTCATTGTTGTTTCATTATGCCATGATGGTGTAATATTTTCTTCATCACTTTCACTATTTGTCAGATCAGTTGTATTTAAATCGGCTACAAAAATCGATATATGATTCTATAATTTTCCTAGAAAAAACAAACTTACATGATTTAGTATTTGGTTCGACAACTGTTGTTAATTCATGTCCATTATTAGCTTGAGTAAAATATTTTTTTAATTGACTTTGATGTAGAAGTTTTGATGTCGAAGGTGATGATGCATCCATTTATATATATATATATATATCTGCAAAAGCAATAGTGGTAAGTGGATTTGTTTTGTTTAAAATTAGTCAAAAGAAAAAAAAACAAACTAATAAGGGAACTAAAATATCAATGACTATATAGTTTAATGTTGACGGAAACACACACACGAAACATTCAGAAAAATAATTGTCCAGGATTAAGCTGATGTTTTATCGGCATTTTTCTTCGATGCAAAATAAGTACGCATAGCATTAAGTGCTGATCCAGCTTTGAACCATTCAATTTGTGGTTCATTCAATGTATGAAGAAGTTTAATTGTTTCAGTTTTACCATTTGAATGTTTAATACGACATTCGACCGGCTATTAGAAGAAAAAGAAAACATCAATCAAAATACAAAAACAGAATACATACTTGGCCTGGTGTTAATTTATTAAGACCAAGTATTGAGACCTTATCATCGGGTTTTATTTTATCATAATCAGCTGGATTATCGAATGTTAAAGCAAGCATACCTTGCTTTTTCAAATTTGTTTCTAAATAATAGAAATAAATAAATATAATTATTTAAATAAATCGAATTTATTTACCATGAATACGAGCAAAGCTTTTAACAATTATAGCACGACCACCGAGATGTCGTGGTTCAAGTGCAGCATGTTCCCGACTACTACCTTCACCATAATTTTCATCACCAATAACGACCCATGGAGTATCTTTACTCTTTAGAAATACGAAAAAAAAAATCATTCATTCATTCATTCATGAATTCTATTTACTTACCTTGTAAGAACGAGCAACATCAGGTACTTTACCCCATTCATTGGTTAAACGATTTTTAATATTATTTGCTTCGTTATTTTCTTCATTGACAGCACTAAAATGAAATATAAAATTTTATTGCTATTTGATAAGAAGAAATTCTGTACTACAATTAAAATCATCTTCACATGAACTTTATCTTTTACTCATTCTCTATCGATAACGATCGTATTACATGTTTTTTAAACGATCTCTATCGATTGCCTTTGAAGAAACAACTGATCGAATCTAAACCTTATTCTCTTCAAGAAATTATCAATGACATACGCGATAAACATATTGTTTGAAATGTTATCTAAATGACCACGATATTTCAACCATGGACCAGCAGCACTAATATGATCTGTTGTACATTTTCCTTTAATTTTAATAAGAACTGGGAAATCAATATAATCTTTTCCATCCCATGGTTTAAATGGTTCAAGTAATTGAAGACGTGCACTCTTTGGATCAACATCAACTTTCAATGAAGTACCATCTTTTGGTGGTTCTTGATAAGTATCCTCACCTGGATCGAAACCTTTGGATGGTAAATTATCGCCAGTTGGTGGTTCTAATTTAAATTTACTACCATCAGCAGCGGTTAATGAATCTGTTAATGGATTAAAACGAAGATCACCACTTAAAATCATTGCTGTAACAAGATCTGGTGATGTTACAAATGCATGTGTTTGAGGATTAGCATCATTACGACCAGTAAAATTACGATTATATGATGAAATAATTGTATTTTTTTCACCTTTCTTTATATCTTTACGATCCCATTGACCAATACATGGACCACATGCATTAGCTAAAACAACACCACCAATTTGACGAAGTTTTTCAGCCTGTAAAAATAGAAAATAAATATTCGTAAAAAACAACAACAATAACAACAACTTACAATTCCATCACGTTCAATTGTAGCTCGTACTTGTTCAGAGCCAGGTGTTACAGTAAATAATGATTTAGCTTTAATACCTTTATTAATTGCTTGTTGAGCAATATTTGCTGATCGTGCCATATCTTCATATGAACTATTTGTACAACTACCAATAAGACCTTTTAAAATAGAATATTAGAAAGAAAATATTTTTTCAATTGATTTATTTCCATTTCTTACCAACGCGAATATCTGTTGGCCATTTATTTTTTTCAGCTTCTTTGCCTAATTTATCAATTGGATGAGCAAGATCAGGTGTAAATGGACCATTGACATGTGGTTCGAGCTAAAAATATTCAATAAGAAAAAAAATAAAATCATTTTTTTTTGTTACTTCAGATAAATTGATATCAATAACACGGTCATATTTAGCACCTTCATCTGCAGTTAATAAAATATCTCGATATTCATTAGCAAAGTTAGCAATATCTAATTAGAAGAAAAAAATAGATATTATTTTAAAATAAAAGGAATCTTACCTTCACGTTTTGTTGCTGTAAGATATTCAGCCATACGTTCATTGTAAGGAAAAACAGATGTTGTTGCTCCTATTTCTGCACCCATATTACAAATTGTACCCATGCCTGTATAACAAACAAATCAAATATTTTCAAAAAAATCAAAAAACAAATATATTTACCTGTGCATGAAATTGATTTAACACCGGGTCCAAAATATTCAATAATTGCACCAGTACCACCTTTAACTGTTAAAATACCAGCTAATTTAAGGATAACATCTTTTGCTGATGTCCATCCACTTAATTGACCTGTTAATCGAACACCAATAACCTTAACAAAAAAATTATCAGATTAAATTTGAACATATATATTGTTTTTCTTTACTTTTGGACATTTAAGTTCCCATGGCATATTAGCCATTACATCAACGGCATCAGCACCACCAACACCAATACAAAGTCCACCTAAACCACCACCATTTGGTGTATGACTGTCAGTACCAATAAGTAATAAACCAGGATAAGCATAATTTTCAAGAATAATCTAGATAATTACATATTTCGTTTTTTTTTATTACTTAAAATTTTTCTCAATAACATACTTGATGAATAATACCACTACCCGGTTTCCAAAATCCAATATCATATTTTGCACTTGCTGTAGCCAAGAAGTTATATACTTCTTTATTTTGATCCTAAAAAATAAAACAATATTTTTGAGATTATCATCAAACAAAATAATAACTGTCACTATTGATTGCGTTGATGCTTATGTTATATAGCTACGATTATTTGTAGAAACAAAAAAATATTGATCTGTCAAGTTTATTTTCGATTAGTGTATCGTGCAATAACGAGATTAATTATTCGCCATAATTTATTATTATTTTATCAAAATAGGCAAAACAAAACACACTTTAGGTGTTTCTTTTTTATTTATTCACCTGTGAAATTATCTAGATTGCAACAGTGCGTGACGCTCTTAACGCCTTTCCTTATCCAATGTAGATAATTGGATTTTATTACGACAGAACTTTTTTTAAATTTGCTTCCTATGAAAATTAATAATACCTTTGCTCGTTTTAAATCTTGATCACCTCCGAGTTGTGCTTCAATTAAATGATCACAATGAATTGTTGTTGGACATAATACATTGGGTAAACCAGATGAAATAAATTGAAGTACAGCCATTTGTGCAGTTGCATCTTGCATAGCTACACGATCAGGACGTAAACGAAGATAAGATTTACCACGTTCAAATTGCTATTTAAATAAATAAATAAATATTTTTTATTTTTTAGATTCTTTTTGCTTCTTACTTGAGTTTTCGGATCATCAGCATGTGAATAAAGAATTTTTTCCGAAAGTGTTAATGGTTGATTAAGTCTAGATAATCGAATTTTTTGTTATAAATAATAGAAAAAAAACAAATCGAACCTTTTCTTAACAATTTCTAACGTTTGTGCTTGTTTTTCATAATTTACATATTTATTAGGTTCAAAACGTGATAAAGATACCTGAAATGATAGAAAAAAACAATGATGAAAAGTATTTTTTTGTTTTTTCGAACTTCTTTAGGTTTTGTTGATGCGTAAACTGTTCGAGTCAAACAAAGACGTCGAATAGGCGAAATTGTTTGCGTAGCACAAGCAAACTAAATGAAGAATTTTCATAATTTAATAATTTAATTAATTGTTTTCGTACTTTTTCAACGCTAGAAATCAATGAGACGCTGTTTCGAGCCAACATTGTTGTTTCTATAAAAAGAGGTGAAATGAAATGAATATAGATGCAGAATAACAAACAAACATACAGGCAACTAATAGAGGTCGCTACAATCGCTCCTAATTTATTTTATTTAAAACATATTTTATATAATTCAATCTCAAAAATAAAATAGAAATACAACAGAAAATAAATTCTTAGTTATTATACTTCAATTTGAATATTATTGGTGAACATATAATTACCAATTATATACTTTCATACGATTTCTCTTCTCTGGCAGATTGATGAAGAGAAAAAAAACGTAAAAATTTTTTTTGAATATTTCTTTATAGCCTTAAGGAATTTTATTTAGGTGAGTTTTCAATAAGTGAATATAAATAATGACTCAGTATTTTTAATGAAAAAAATCTGCAAAATATTTACTACTTCAGGCACTTGTCTAAAAATTAAAATCAAGTATACCCGGTTTCCAATACAATAAAAAGCAATTTTCAATAAAAAAAAATGAATATGTGTTATACTCACTGAATAGACATTATTTTAATTACCATATACCTATGAATACTATATAGATGAATCGATAGTCGTTCATATTTCTTTCAATTGATATTCTAATAAATCTATGACCTTTACTATCATTACTTTATATGTGACCTATTTTATATAAATTACACTTTTCGCAGTGAAGAAAAAAATTTATTTCAAGCACATGATCTTTTTTTTTTGTCAGCAACAGATATTTTTATTTATTCTCTTGGATAAAGTTAAATTTATCATCAAGAATAGAAACATATATGACAAAGTACTCTTATTTTCTCTTTCGTTTCTTTCAACCTTTTATAAATTTTGTAGATATAGAGTTTATATATAATTTCTCTTATTCATTCTTTTTGTTTTATATGTAAGTATCTCACATTCACTCATCATTTCTCGTTACTGATAAGAATGAATGAAGATGCATACACCTGTTACTTTTTGTTTTTTATTTATTTATTGTTATAGATGTTTAGTGTAAAATAAAAAGAAGATTTAAATTATATTTTGTTTGTTTTTAACATTCCACTGAAATATTTATAATGGACGTACAAGTGTCAATGCCTCCTCCACCTCCTCCGCCACCACCGCCACCACCACCATTTTTTGCCGAAACAGTAACTTCACAACTAACAGTACCACCACCTCCTCCACCTCCACCTTTTCCACAGTCAACTATAACGACGACTACAGCAGTAGCACCACCATCAACAACAGCAAGTGTAGCTGGTCCCTCTACTCAAGAGCGTATCTGGTTGCATCCATGGACAGCAGCAGAAATGCGTCAAAATGCATCACAGTGGTCATTAGCTGGTGATGCTGGTGTAAGCAGAGAGAATTTCTTGAAAAATAACTTGATATTATTTCTTATTAAATTATTTCTAGTTACTACTTTATTTGGAAAATTTTTCGGATAAATTAGTTCAACGAGCTGATGCTATTCAACAACATTTAAGTCAAACAGTAAATGCTGTTAAAGTATGTTTCATAAGATTTCAATACTAATATCCATTGGTACATGTTATTAAATTTAGAGCACACATACACGTGTTCAAAATTGTCTTAATGAATTTACATCTCTAGCAAATACACAATTTATTGAAAACGTAAAATAAACAATACATCTTTTGATTGAGTATCAATTATTATTATATTTTTTGTTTTAGCGTGTCTATGATGAAGATGAAACAGCAAATGTAACACCATCTAAAAAAGATGAACCATCAACGGTAAGCAAAATAAATATTGTTGTTGATTAATAGATTTATGCAACATATTGATAGTATTAAATTTTTCATAGTTTTTTGAAGGATGTGGGCGGTCAGAGTAAGGTTAATGTAATAACCACACTCACACCTATGTTTTAGAGAAGTTATATTATTAAATATTTTATTTTTAGGACAAAGCAAATGTTAATAATATTGAAGCACAAGAAAAAGTCTTACAACGTTATGTTGAAGCTGTTCAATATGGTTTAGCAATACTTGAAACACATTTTGAACGTGTTGATACTAAATTAGATGTTGCTCAAAATGGTAGTTCATCATATGTTGATGATGAAGAAGATGAAGGAGTACCAATTGAACCTATACTTGAACCAAAAGATCCTTACATATATCGACCATTACCGTTTCTTATTGGTAGTTCTGAATTTATGCAAGATGATTATATTGGTTTAGGTGATTTATTAAATCCAACAGATGAAGAAGAACTTATTGGTGCAGAAATTAGAAAAGTTGATCCGTATTCTGTAAATTTTTCATTTGAGTACATTGTTATATTGATAATATTTTCATTTACTCTTTAGTCGCTATCAAGTTCTGATGTCGAAGACGAAAACAAAGACGACCCCGATTTTGTATGAATTTTATATATGATCTTATATATTTCTATATTTTACTTTTTTTTAGACAGCTTATCCGTCTTCTGTGCCAATCGTTCCAGCTGGTACTAGTCGTCCAGGTTTATAATATAAAAAATTGAGTTTATTTTTGTTAACGAAATTTTATAGATGCCGCCAATCAACTACGACAACCAACAACTGTATTAACTGATACTGATGATGACGATGATCCATTTAAAATAGCTAGTAATCGACCATTCGATGATTTCGCTTCATCAAAACCAGTATATTAGTTTACAAAATATGATAAATATATATTTCCTGTTGTTTAACTAGGTTGCTAATGATAATTCTGATAAAAAACAAACCATTCCTCCAAAATCGAATCAACCAAATTTTGGTTCAGGTTAGTAGAAAACATACAATTGTTCATCCTACATTTTGAATATATTTATCTACAGGATCAGATGATGATGATGAAGATGATGATCCACTTTTTAATCCAGTTAAGAAACCACCGCAGATCAGCAAAAATCGTAATGATGATATTTTTGATAAACAGTCTTTAACCTCGAAAGAATCTGATGAATCTGAAGAACCAAAACAAGAAACAGATACACCAGCACCTGTCAGTGAAAAAAAAGTTATGACTGCACTTGAAGAAGCTGTTCAACGACGATGGGAAAAAATGCAAAAACTTGAATCACAACAAGGCAATGAAGAAAGTGATGTGAAAATTCCAACAAAAACATCAAATGAAACTATGTAACTATTTTATTTGATTAATTATTTTTTAAAGCCTTTCTTAAATTTAGTTCTCCACTTGGTAATAAAACAACAATAAAACCTACACCAGAACTATTATCATCAACTACCATGTATGTGTTTCAATTAAAAAATTAATTAAATAAATACTATTATGAAATAATTTAGTTCTAGTCTTGTTCCAAAACAAATAATAACAGCAGAAAAGGTAAATTAGATAATACTTTTTATTATATTGATATGAAGTTTCCTTTGTGTAGAATCCTCCTTCATCAATATTTGGTCAACATGCTACACCAGACGATGATACTGATGACGATGATTTTTTCAAAGATGCACCAAAACTACCACCAGTAACAAGTGTTCTACCAGCACTAATTCCTAAAATTGAAACAAAACCATCACCATCACTAACTACAGTAGGAAAAAAAAGTACTACGTTTGATTTTGATTCGGATAATGATGAGGATGATGATCCATTTCGACCGAAAAAGAAAGATATTTCATCGACAATACAAAAGAAATCAAACAATTCAGATTTAAAACCTCCAACAACAGTCATAAATAAAACAAAACCAATTATTCCAGATGATGAAAGTGACGATGATTTATTTCCGACTTCAAAACCCAATAAACCACAACTTCCACCAGCAAAAATACAAACATCGGATGATGACGATTTTTCATTTACTTCAAAACCGTCAATACAAAAACCACCTACTGTATCTACTATTTCTTCTCCTGCTCCTGTAATTCCTCAAGTAGTTACAAAACCTATATCTGCAGTTGAAGAAGATAGTGATGATGAGTTATTTCCGACTTCAAAACCTAGCAAACCACAACTTCCACCAGCAAAAATACAAATATCCGATGATGAAGACTTTTTAGTTACTCCTAAACCGTCAATACAAAAAACACCTACTGTACCTACTATTTCTTCTCCTGCTCCTGTAATTCCTCAAATAGTTACAAAGCCTATACCTGCAGTTGAAGAAGACAGTGATGATGAAATATTTGGTATATCAAAATCAACATCGAAAGCACCACCAACCGTAATACAGAATATTGTTACACCTGTTAAACCTAAAGATGATGTATTTGGTATATCAACCACTGAATCCAATAAAAAAAGAACAGAAATACCAAAAATTCCTTCACCTACGAAATCTAGTGATGATGATGAATTGTTTGGTGGACCAACAACCAAACATAAAATACCATCAGCACAACTTCCTAATGCAACATCAGCCAAATCTAACAAGGATGATGAACTATTCCCTGTTAAGCCAACTCATGTTGAATTACCACCACCTGTTAGTTTAATTCCGTTGCCTCAGCCACCACCTGTGACAACTATTGTTGATGAAGATCCTTTATTTGCAATTTCAAAGCCTATTGAAACTATATCATCATCACGACCAACTGCCGAATCAATTAAAATACTATCAGGTACAGGTGTTCAATCAGAAAAGAAAACATTTTCTGACAGTGAAGATGAAGCACCATTGCCAAAACGACAATTGAATACTGCAGCATTAAAAGAAGGTGAAAAACCAAATGTTAAAGGTCTTGCAGTAAGATAAATAAATTCTCAAAAACGAACATTTTTTCATTATTCTGTTTTTCTCTAGGGACTTTTAAATATCAATCCGACTGCTCATAAACCAGGTGCACGTCCAAAACCATCGTCAACTACTGAACAATCGCCGAAGGCATCTGTGAATGATGAACAACCTCCAGTATCTGTTGTAAAAAAACCACTTAAAGATGATTCCGATAGTGATGATGATTTATTTCCTACCAAGAAAACAGTACCGTCAGCGGTTCCAGTCGTTGAACAAAAAGAAAAGACTCGTGATATAAAAGAAAACGGAGGACTTAGTAGTGTGAAGGCTCTCGCGGTAAAAACAATATTTTTTTTTGTTCTTTCGTAATAAAAATCTGTAAATCTTAATTTTAGGCTGGTCTAAAAATAAATCCAATGATGCAGATGGCAGGTGCTCAACCGAAACCAACTTCTAAGCAAGGAGAGGAATCAGATTTTACTACGCCTACAACTTCAACTGATGTATCAAAAGAAGAATCAACAGCTGATAAAACTGTTTCAGATATGCTTAAAGTAATTCTCTCATGAATTTTCTATATATATATATATATATATATATACATATCTGTATTTAAGGATCGACCTAAACGACCTGTCGGAACTCGAACATTACCAAGTAGAAAACCACGTTCAACTGGAGCTGCAGCAATTACCATTTCTACAAATGAAAATGATGATCTTTTTGCTTTGTCTAGTTCGACTAACACTGCTGCATCGTCATCATCTTCTCCTCCACCTCCTCCTCCTACTACTACTACCGTTCCAATAATTCCTCCTACAATGCCTGTAACAGGTTTGCCAGATAATATTGCTACTATTGCTGCTAAATCTAATAAACATAATAATTCGAAAGAAAAGAAAAATATTTCGCTATTTGATTCTGATGATTCTGATATTGATGAATTGCTCTTTGGCTCCAGCAAGAGTATGCTCATCTACTTCAATTTCATTTTCATTTATTTATCTTCTATCTAGAGAACAAATCTACCACGGTAACAAAACCAACAACTACAGTAATTTTAGTTCAATAATTAAATTTAAAAGTATCATTTTGATGTTTTTCAGTCATCAACAACTTCGAAAGTAACTACGAAATCTTCTATATTATCATTAGATGATGATGATGATTTTTTATCAAAACGACCAACCAAAAAAAATACAAAACCAGTTGATAATGATGATATATTTGCTGATGTCAACAATAAATCCCAACCGGGAAATAAAGCTAAAAAAGATTGGTCTATTATGAATAAATCAGGAACAAATGATACAGGTAAAGATGATTTTTTCTATCTTCTATTATTTCAAATATTTTCTATTTTAGATGATATTTTTAATGACCTAAAATCAAAGTCTTCCAATACTTCAAAACCAAAATCAACAAATGTTAATAATAAACCAGCCAAGGATTTAGATGATATATTTGATGATCCACTTAATGTCACGTCTAAACGATAAATAAAAACTTGCCTTTAATTAAAACTAAAATCCTAATTTTGCATTTCGTTTTTTTCTTTCTTCGTATTTTGTGCAATATATATAAATAAATAGAGTTTATTTTTAACTTCGTAATCGAACAGAAATTTTTATATATTATTAATACAAAAAAAAGAATATATATAATGTTTTTTTTCTTCTTATTTATTCTATTATCCATTGAAACAAATAATATAAAATACTTAAAGAGTGTTTGTTTTGAAGGTGCTTTTAGTTCTTCTATCGATGTTTATGGATTTTAATTACTAAAATACTTTGTCTTTATTGAGATATTCATGAAAAAAAACGATAGACTTCGAGTAATCGAGTTTATTATATATGTATGTTTTTCAAACGATGATGTATTTATCGTTTAATATGGATGATTGATTTCAAACTGTATATAATCGTTATTACGATAAGGTTTTCTTTCTTTTACCTCGTGCGTTCAAATGTTATTAAGAGCAATGAAGTGAATCTTACTATATTCGATGAGATGCATGATATGTAGAACGAATTAGAGATATAAATTCATCAAGAATTTATTCGTACAGTTGGATCTAGTAAATTCTCTTCGGTTGCAGTCATGTTCAATAAGAATACAAATACTTGTGAATGGGTGTGGATATCCTTTTCACTCCCACACCCTTTATATTCTTTTATTTTTTATTATTTGTATGACTCAATAACCCCGCAACGTACCTGCATTAAAATTGAATCAATGCAATAATTACCATATAATGGGTAAATGATACTATCATAAATAGAATAACATACATACTATTTTATTTATTTATGTTTGAGCAATTGCATAAGATGCAAAACTTTTCTTTAATATTAAATGTATGTTACCTATCGATAGACTTAATCAGATTCGTGAACAAGAAAGTTAACACATGTAATGTCTACGAATAATACTTTTCAATATGTGTTGGTGTTGTCAAGTAACATTCAATATAACATACTCTGAAAAAAAGTTTAAGGTATGTCAAAAAGATACATTTAGAAAAGAGAGTTACTGCGAACAACATATGCATAATTCTTTTAGTTTTATGCGACATCTTGATGACGTATCATAATATAAATGCTCATTTACATATTTAGTTTAACTTATTCTAAAAAAAATTTTCGCGACTAGATCTTGTATAACTCTTAATGCTTTATATCCATCTAAAAAGTTGTCAACATCATTTTGAAATCAATCGACAGAAATTAATCTCAATAAAATCTTATTTTTCGCATACTGTTTCATCCATTTCTTCTTGGTGACTGATACACATACGATATTCATATATAATGTAGTTTAAAAATATGGTAATAAAATTTCGAATGTAGTATTTTTTATATTGGTCGATGTTTTATTCATCTATACACCTATTGTTATACTCTAATATATCTATATATACAATGTTATTGTTGACGATTCTGTTTTGTTTCAAACTATTTGTTTACATATCAAACAAGAGAAACATGGATTAGACATAATGAGTTGAATTGATTAGCTATAATTTATAGATCAAATTTTCTTATAAAAACAAACGAATATTTCAGTACTAACTAAAATATAATTTTATAGTTTATTCATTTTATATTTGATGAAAAATTGAATAAACATAATATTCATCATGAATATGATCAACATCATCCGAATAGATTGGAAAAAGCCTATAAAGTTTCTAAAAGTTTAAAAATTTTAGGAAGATCTTTGATGAAATATCAGTATTTGTAAAAGTTTTAGATAATTATCAAACGAAGTGTGCATAACATTAATCATTTTCAAAATTTTCAAGGCGGTTCTAATACTAGATGAAGAGTTAAAGTTATAAAAATATTATGTTATATTTCTGTTTACAATTGTGTTTATCCTTCTTGTGCATCTATTTTTTTACTCGCTCAAGGTCATAATATCCAATTAGTGATTATGTCTCATCGTATTGCACAAGATACCTGGTATAAATCATTTTGATACTTATTTGCTTTAGAATCAAAATAAATTAATTTATCTAGTATTTTATCCTAAGATAATCTCTCTTATGTTATTATCAGATAGTTAATCGCTTCTATAAAAAGAAATAATATTCAAATGAAAACATTTCATATATGATGAACTAATCTGTCACGCGTTGTTTCTATAGAATATTAAATTTAAAGACATTTGAAGAAGTTAATACCACAACATAAAACTATTAACGATGAATATATATTGGATAATAAGTCTATGATCCAAGATTGACAATATTTTGGATATTTGCATGAAATATTATGAATGAATCTTTTATATTCATATATTACATATAAAAACAACTATTACTGTAAACAAAAAAAATAAAGAATGGGTGGTGTCTTTGTTATTTTCTTTCAAAATAAACCCAGTCATTGGTGCAACGATTAATGAGTGCAAAAAAAAGTATTTTTTTTTATGAAGGTTATACTTTTTCATGCTATATCCAGTGAAGCATGTGAAGGAAAGACAAAAAGAAAAATGGGTACGTCTTTGTATTTTGTAATAGGCCGATAATACGTTCTTTACTGTATTATATTTTATAATACTTTAAAATGAAGGATTCATTCAAGCAAGAATAATTACACAAAAGAAATAATGATTGATGAAATGACATGAGATCAAGGTAAAACTGAAGAAGCTATTGTTGACAAGAATACAGATTTTATCGAAGGTTTTGTATTTAATTGCCAATTAGTTTTTAATATTCTTGATAGGATGGATATGTCTATAAGATAATTATAAAAAGAAACCTGACTTTATCTAATACGATTTAGAAGAGAAACCTGATATAGGTATGACTTTTATGAATCTTCTATACTCAGATGTGATTGGTTAAAAGTAAAAATTCTCAAGGTAGATATACAGTACGACAGTAATTTGCCTATACATAAATAGATTACTTGTGTATGACTAACTATAATAATAATAACAAATCGATTTTATTTTCAAAGGTATATTTATCTAATATCAAAACAAATATATTCAGGCGTGCCTATTTGGACGTATTTTACGGTGCGAATGTAGGAGTAAAAGCATAAATTAATATTCATATTGTAGTCACGTTTATTCAGCATATATATACACGAAGAATAATATCATTTATTTATTAAATCGATTAAAGCAAAGTAATGGCAGTCGTTATATCACAACCCAGGTATATGTTTTTTACTCTATGTTCAGTTTTTTTGAATCATTGTTTCTTGTAGACGAGTTAACACCACTGGTCCAGTGTTGGCTGCCGTTTGTTGTTTAGGACTTTTACTGTTCCTCATTGCAGCTACAATTGTACTTTCACTTATTCCCGTCTATCTTTCACGTCGTAACGGAAATCGAGCTCAACCTTATGTGGGTCCTGTTAGGCAAGTGCAATACAAACTTCCTGGTACTAATTATCCTAATGGACCTCTGACACAAGCACAACTCGCTTATATAATTGCACAGGTAACTAATATAATTCATTAAAGTCACGTTCATTTTCTCTCTCTTTTTTATAGTATCAAACAAGTATCAATAACCATGGATCAACAGGTAAATCAACTATCAGCTCACCAGGTGCTTCAGTGAGCACTACAACAAGCAAGGTAAGCTGATAGTTTTTTTTGTTTTCATGTATCAATTGATAAACATGTATTTAGAAGCGAAAACGACGAGGCATAATTCAAATCCTGACGTTCTTGTATCAGATTACATATCCCATAGGAACTCCAGTTCATCAACGATCTATAATCCTTACTATAATTGATGCCATCGTTACCGTACCTCTTAGTGATTACACTGTTCTGAGTAAGTATATACGTATATATATCTCATATTAAAATAAATTCGCTTACATTTCTGATTAAAACAGAAATATGTGAATGTAAAAAGAGAAGAACATAGAGAGATGCCATGATTCTTTCAAAAGCTATTTGTTTTATACATATTTGAGAGATTTTCTGTCAAATATATCAGATTTTTGTTCACATAAATTGATGTTGTTTTAAAAATTTATTCAATTTGAAATATTATGAGATAATATATGAAAAAAAAACTGTACAGTGTTACTTACTGTAAAATCTCTAGTTCTATGAAAAGGATATTTAAAAGCAGTTTATTTTATACCCATAATTACAGTGACAGGAATAAGATTATTTATATTTTAGCAACTTCAACATCAACAACAACAGCAATAACAGCAACAACAACACCAACAAGTAGTGCAGGTGAATATACACTTTTGTTTTCTTCGTTTCGTGTCTTCCCTTTACTGATATTGACAAAAATCACAGTTTACTAAATATGACTATGAAAAACAAGATAAAATATAAGTTGAAAAAATTCTCACTTTTATCTATCGTTTTCGAAATTACATATTAGTTTGAAGTCATTCCAATTACTTTATTAACAACCTCTTTGATATTTGTAAAATATGATATATTTTCTTTCTATACAGCCGTCGTAGGCTATGCTCCTACCAGCACGGGCTGTTCAGGCAGTCCAGTTATCGTTCCTGCAACTGCTCTATATCCTGATGAAGCAACTTGGCTTCAAAGCCGCGCGCCTATTGCCGAAACATCGTTAAGAGCTTGGCTCACTAAAATCGGGTTGAGTGCGAGTGATTACAATGCAAGTACAGTAGTTCCTCGTGTTGGTTTGACGACATCTGGTGGTGGTTATCGTGCACTGCTCATTGGTGCTGGCGTCATTCAAGCTATGGATGGACGTGAAACATTAGGATCACCACTTGCTGGTCTTCTTCAAGGGATTACATATCAAACGGGTACATCAGGTGGTGCATGGTTGCTTACTTCATTTGCTGCAAACAATTATCCAACTATTTCTTCATTACGAGATTCATTATGGATTCAAAGATTTAAATACTTTCTTATTCTTCCAAATCCTGACAAACTTGATTACCAAGCAGTTGCCATTGCTCAAATTCTTGCCAAGAAAAATGCTGGCTTTAAAGTAACAGTAGCAGATGTATGGAGTCGAGATTTGGCTTTTCAACTTCTTCAAGCACCAAATGGAGGAGCTAATGTAACTTTTGATTCAATTACATCAACAGACGCATTTAAAGCGTTCAGTTTACCTTTTCCAATGGTTACAGCAATTCTGTATAGAACTGGAACGTGTGTGCCTCCACTCAATTCATCTATAATTGAGTTCACTCCTTATGCTATGGGTAGCTGGGATACCGGTATAAAAGCATTTACACCTATCAAATATGTGGGTACTAGTTATATGAATGGTCAATTACCATCGAATGGACAATGCGTATTAGGTTATGACAATGCTGGTTTTGTTTTGGGAACATCTTCGTTTCTTTTCAATGAAGTTGAATGTCGTATATTACCTAATGGAACATTAGCGTTCGATAATGATTCAGGCAACCAAACAAATGGTATAATTACTGCAATTAATGCTGTCCTCCAAGGTATACTTAATAAACAAGAAGGACTTACAACTGACGATGTTCTTTCTGCGAACTATCCAAATCCATTTCAAGGAAGTGCACAAACACCTGGTGTCAGTTCACTCCAAAACTTAAATATGGTTGATGGAGGTGAAACAAGTCAAAATGTACCTTTTTGGCCATTAATTCAAACTGTTCGAGGTGTCGACGTCATTATTGCTAATGATAATTCAGCCGATACATCAGGAAATTTTCCAAATGGAACTCAAATATTCACAACTTATCAACAGGCACAACTCGTCAATATTCCATTTCCAGTTATCCCAAATGCAGATACATTTGTTAGTCAAGGACTTAACGTTAATCCTACATTCTTCGGATGCAATCAAACAGGTGTTCCTCTCGTTATCTATCTTCCCAATACAAACATTACTTTTCAAAGTGGTCTTGCAACATTCACACCCACATATTCGGAAGATACCACACGTGGCATGATTCTCAATGGTTTCAATGTAGCAACACGAAGTAATAATACTGCATGGTCACGATGTCTTGCATGTGCAATTGCTCGACGTAAAGGAGGTTTATATACTGCAACTACTAGTGCTGAATGTGCAGGTTGTTTTAAAACATATTGTTTCAATTAATTCTTCTTAATTTGGTTCAATCATGCATTTCATAAACATTTTAACTTTTTATTTATTATATTTATTCACGCAGGACATTTAATTTTTATGTAGTTTAGTTATTTATTTTAATCATTGATAATAAACTGTTTTTGTTAATTGTTCTAATATTCAAAGAGTAATACATACGTCAGAGTAACACGATTCTATTCAAACAAAAATATGCATTGTACATGGAAACAAAGAAATGTAGTATATATTTAAAACTACCTTCATTCAGAATAAGTTTGAAATTATTTTAATAAATCTAAAAAAATCATCAGTTCATCGTGTTTTCTTTTATACGATACTTATAACCAATTGACTAATTCAATACGAGTATAGATAAACTAATATTTATCTCGACATTATTATTTGCATGCTTAAAATGTTTTTTTTTCAAAATACATGTTTATCAATTGTATCAAATACGATACTGAGTAGTAGTAATAGTAGATTGTGTATCGATAAAAAATTTTATGAGTAAAAACTAAGCAGTTATTCCATCATGAAACGATATTATCATAGTATTTTCTTTATTTTCATTGTGATAAAATTAGAAAACTGTTGAGAAAATGTAATTTAGTATTTTATAATGAGATTAGTCAAGACAACTTTTGATGAGACGCAACTTTTGTCTACCGCAGATGTTCTGCTACCACTCTGTTTTGCATCGACTATTCTCTAATTTATTAATATATAACTATTTGAATAACACAATTATTTCTGAAAATAAAATCTTCTTTGAATATTTAAATTGAAATATTGTAATCAGTTTTATATGATATCTATGCAAAGTGTATTGTTTGCTATGAGTAGAATACGTAATAGATACAAATAATAATTACCATGTAAGTATTCCTATTCTCTAATTGTTGGTAATAAACCATCATATGTATTCGAAGGTCGCTGTTAAAAACACAAATAAGATGTAGTAAATTAATCCTATGAAACACAATTTTCCTTTTTGAAAAAAAAATGTTCTCTTTATTATATTTATGATGATAACAAATTTCATTGTCAAACAATCCAATATGCCGCTAGTTCAGTTATATTATGATGATTCTAAAACTTATAATTAAGTATAAGATCCGCTTTGTCTCATTACATATGACATAGTGAATCCGAGTTGATTGACATTTTTTTTCTTCATTCCGTTCTTTCATTCTGATGAATAAAGGTATACAGATAATAGCACGTTCAGAATGCATCTTCGTCATAAATCAGGACGCAGTTTTTTCTTTTTTTTCTTTCTAATTATAATATATAGAGACAAGCAGGCTAGATACTCTAAAAAAAATTATTTACGCTTTTCTTTTTTTTTTAATGTGTTTCATATGCGAAGGTAATTCCAAGACAAAGCTTGTCACTATGACTATAAGGATTCAATCTTTTATCTTCTTTTTCTTTCCTTACGTTTCCGTTAACTCTAAAAGACTTGTCTGAATCATGGTCTGATATAAATGTGCATTCTATCTTGCCGTGTATATTGCATACTTAGAAATTTTTGTAGAGCATCTTTTAATTGTTTATTAATCTAGGTTATTTTTGTCTTATATAGATATACACACTTGAACATACAACATATTAATGATATCTTAAGAAATTTGAATATAATTAGAATGTTTTTTTTTTTATTTTTTTGCAAATTTTTTTTATTTGAAAAAAACTGAAGTATTAGTTTTAACATAGATTTTCCTTAATAAGACATCTTGTTAAATAATTTCTGAACATTTAGCATCGTATCTTAGTATAAAAGTAAAGAAAATATGTTAAAATGACTCTTAGTACATAGTTAGTAAGAAAAAATTCTCCGATATTTCTGTATGTGAAAAAGTTCAAACATTTGAAAATTTTATAGATATTCAATAAAGTCGTGTTATTAGTCATTACGTAAGTAACCTATAACGAAAAAATGACAAAGTTTAGTTTTTTCCATGCATACTTTTGTAATTAAGAAAAAGCAGATTAACTTATTAATACTGCGAAAACTTGACCTCATGATTAATTATATACAGTACAGCATAACTATGAAAAAATAGACGACGCTTTCGCAAATTAAATATTTTAGTTGGCCAGTCAGAATATAAAATGAATTCGAAAATGCATACAGCAGTTCAATATTATTCTTAATTCTAGTTAATAATTTTTTTCGATGTTTCTATTCGAATCTTTTAAAATTTACCGCATAAATCAATATGAAAAATATTTCGTTAATGTCATTTAATAATTGTACAGTGCGTTGTGACTACGAAAAATAAACATGACAAGATAATATTGTAGTCTGATACTTCATATAATTATATCTATATTTAAACCATTGTTTATATATTGAGCAGTATCTGAAGTTACCTTCTTATCTCACAATGAAAAATAATTCATCCAGTAAAACAATTTTCTGTCATTTTAGAATTCATTTCCTTGTTATTATTCACTGACTATCTTAGGTATTGATTAACATGAGCTCCCCTATCACAATAAAGTATGCGAAGAAAAATAATCATACTATTAATCAAAATTCTAACGATAAATTAATCGAGAACAAAAAACGAAGATCGATACTTTTAGTATTCATATGCGCTGTTATTTTATTATACACTATCGTATCGCAATATTCATTATACTTAGAAAAAAAGAAATTACAATTCTATCGTGTATCAAAACCAAATTTACTTGATGGTTGCCGTTATATTTATATCGATATGGGAACAAATATTGGTGTACAAATTCGAAAACTTTATGAACCACATTTATATAAAAATGCACCTGTACTTCATCTTTTTAAAGAATTATTTGCAAATTCTTCAACTGAAGTATGTTCTATTGGTTTTGAAGCAAATCCATTACATGATAATTATTTGAAAGAATTTGAAAGTTATTGTTTAAAACGTGGATGGCGTGTAAAAATTTTTACATCAACAGCAGTTAGTATTACAAATGGACAGGTTACTTTTTATACAGAACCTGGAAATGAAGTTAATAATCAATGGGGTGCAAGTTTAGAAGCTGGTCGAAAGAAAACTAAGATAGTCGTACCAAGTATTGATATTATTTCTTGGATTAGAGATACGGTCTTAGATCGAAAATTACCTTCAGGAAATTTGACATCAAAGATAATGATGAAAAGTGATATTGAAGGACATGATTCAACTGTTCTTGCTAATTTAATATTGAGCGGTGTATATTGTTCGATTGATCTTATCTATGGTGAACATTTAACCAATGAATTCGTTAATGGAGTTGCATTATTTCAAAAATATTCACAATCATGTAAAACGAAGCTAATTCGAATGGATGATGAATCTTTCTATCAAACTAGATTACCATTCACTTATCCTCAGTCGACAACGTGAATATGTATATATATAAGAGAAAAAGAATGATTGGTAAATAATTAGTCAATCGTACAAAGAGAATGTATTATTTCCAGTATGATAAACGAAGAAATGTAAAGTTAATTTTGTATTTATCTATAAACTTTTTGTACAATTAAATCAATACTTTTTTTGGAGATGAAAATAAAATAAAAACAAGATCAAACCTGAGTAATGATACACCAGTTAATAATAAGTATAGAATAAAGTATTCCTATAATTTAACGACAATAAAGTTTAAAAATAATCATTTATTTTAACCAATATATTCTTCAATGAGCAAACTATGTGTCAATAAACAATACGCGTGTTTCAATACATTGTTTTGGTACGAGTGCTTGTAGATGATGAGAAAGTTTCTTTTTAAAAATAAAAAGCTCAGTTTCATTATCAAACCAGAGCTTTTTCTCGGAAAAACATATATTGATCATCTAACTAGAACATCTTTGCGAAAATCTTGTATTGATTTATCTAATTACTTCAATTTGCTTGCGAAAATCTTGTATTGATTTATCTAATTACTTCAATTTGCTTGCGAAAATCTGAAGTAGAACTTGTCTCTTGTAAGGAACGATGCTACATTTATCAAAATGATCCTTATTATTTTCCAAGTTATTCTTTACAAACAAATTGCACGAATCATACAGTGACCTTGGAAAACTTATAAGAATAAATAATATCTATAATCTTAGAGTTGAGTGGAAATACAAGTGTTTAACAAACCATCAGCAGCTGTCGAGGATTTTTTTCGAATGTAAAATCATCAACCAGAGCAAGGGGGAAACGGCTGACTGTACGATTCCAAGATTTTAGTGAATGGTGATAATTGTTGTGGATAACTGATGTGTAGCAGTCGAACAAGGGATGCCGAGTTAACTTTTCGAGGTTCGACATTTGATGAATAAGCGAGAAAATAAATTCATTATAAACACTTCTTTAATAAGGGAAGATCGACGAAAAAAACTTCATACAGAATATTTTTTTGTATTGAAAAATAAAATTGTATACCACCGAAATTATTTCGTTTAAAGTAGATATTGGTTTAAATAAATCTTCACTGTCTATTGTTAATAGTGCACACATAATGAATCAGAATAACCATTGTAAACACAAAGAAAAGCATAGCAACAAGCAATATTTATATACAATTCTGTTAAAATTGAAGAAGAAAACGTTATAGATATAAAAGTAATCAAACAATTGTCTATATTGATGCGAGAGAAATAATCTGATTTATGCTTAAAATTCGAATAAAAAAACTATTACAATTACCGCAGATTCTCAAATTGAGTATAATTTATCAGATCAGTACTCTATATTGGGTTACATACGCATATAATCGAACTTTTTCATTTTTGGAGTTGACTCGAATCAACAATTTAATAAATTCAATGAAAGACATTTTCTTCAAAACAACTTATTTTGTCTCAAAAAAAAGAATCAAAATAAACAACTCGAGTAAATGAATAAGACATGAAATATATAGAAAAACCAAACAAACTAGATTGGTTCAGTTCAAATAATAAGCGTCATATCGAATAAAGTCAATCTGAATTAATCTCTGAATAAAAAAAAAGTTGGTAGTATTCTTTTAGTTATTAGAATATGTTTTAAAAGAATGTACGATATGTATGCGTACTTCATCGTACTCAAACGTTTGTAAATGTTCTTCGCGCACTCTCTTTCTATTGTTTTTTTTTACCTTTTTTATTTTTCTTACTATAGTGTAAGAACGAAAAAAATAAAAAATACTCGTGCACATTATACGACGACGACAAGGCCGCATATATATATATGTGTCATTTGCCTAACGTCTTCAATATAAAGGAACGCAAGTAAACTGGTGTGACTGTCTTTATAGAAAAAAATATTAATTCATGGCTTCTGAAACAAATGAAGGAAAATTACAAGCTTGTTGTCTTGTTGAATATCGTCCACTACCTGGAACACCAAGTGGAGAATTAGTCAAAATCGGTGGGGTTGATACTTATCATATTTCAGGAAAAGATCAAACATCAAAAGGAAAAGTAATTGTTTTGTTCACCGATGTATTCGGTAAGTTTCTTCTCATCTATTCTTTCATGAATGTTATGTATCAAACATTTAAACAGGTTTGACAAAGAATCCACGTATAACTGCTGATGAAATAGCAGAAAAAAGTGGTTTTGATGTGTATGTTCCCGATTTATTCAATGGTGAACCGCTTCCTTCTTCACTTTTATCATTAATGCCTGACGAAGCAGGAAAAAAATTATCTTTTGGTAATAAGGTAAATGATTGAAATTAATGTACATACAAAGAAGACAATTTTATGTGTTACAGTTAGCTATGGGTGGAAAAATGTTAACAACTGCAGGACCATGGTTGATTCGTCATCGTCAAGCTGTTACTCTTCCTATAGTTGAAACATTTTTAAAAGTATGTCAAACATCTTATTTTGTTTTCTGTTATGTAAGATTTATTTTTAATAGACTCTTCGATCGGAGAAAGGAGCAACTAGAATACAAGCTGTTGGCTACTGTTTCGGTGGTTTGTATGCAGTTCTTGCTGGTAGTGAGCAATACCATCTTGCTGACGCAGTTGTTGGTTGTCATGCTTCATTAGCTACGAAAGCTAACTATGAACAAGTCAATGTACCTATAGCCATGGCTTGCGCACAAGAAGATGAACATTTTTCAGATGCTTTTCGATCAGAAGTAGAACAGATTTTTGCACGTAAACCACAGATACCGTCCAAGTTTATAGTAACTGAAGGAACTGCCCATGGTTTCGCTTCTCGACCTAATCCAGACAATCCTGTCGTAATGAAAGCATATACACAGGCTAATGATTTAATTGCTGAATGGGCCAAAACCCATCTTTGATTATTGTACGAAATCTTTTGTAATAAAAGATATTTTTTAAATCTATCAGGATGTGTTGTTTTTATTGAAAATATAAATAGTAAAGCTTTAAGAACATAACAAGGACATCCTATTATTATATATATGTTTATCATTGACGCTTATTTATATAGAAAAATATTAATTATGTTGAACTATAATATGAGTCGTATGGAAAAAATTCTTTTTTTTTTAAATAAAATAAAATAGCATATAATGTAAGCTGAAATTCACATTTTGAATTGCTAAAAAACGTTTATAACCATGGTTATATCATACACTTTGTAGTACGCGTCTATTTACATCAGTTCATATTAGATGCATCTTGAGTTCGCAGCAAATGCCAAAATATTATCACATAATACTAAATAGAAGTATCAAATAATACTTTTTTGGAATTAATATTTCTTCATACATAAAGATACTTTTTCAAATTAATTGTCAACTCTATTACATATAAATTTATGAAATATGGTTAAAATTCAGGCTCTGTTCAAAAACTTCTTCTGCCCGTAATCTAATTTCTCTTACATATGTAGATATGATTGTCATATTTATCGCTTATACATATCTCTAGCGTTATAACTGTCTAAATATTGTGTAATCTATTTTGTTAAATGCTTGAACCTCTCCGAATATACTTACCTCAATAATAGATTTTTTGTATATAAAATTTGTGATTGAACTGAAAGTACTAGATTCTATTTTTGTATTACATAAAAATAACTAAAACGAGCAAACTAGACAATTTTGAAATGAAGTACTTTTAATAGATTGTCTAATGTATATTTCACTACAATGACTTCGATGTAATCTGTACTGTATAATCACGTACTTCACCATAACCAGTACTGTAACATGGTTTAATATTTCTTTTATCTTGTGTAAGTAAAATACGCATTCGATGTTGTTGACTTGAATAAATATTATCATCTATCTTTGGAATAACAAGACTTAAATCATATTGAGTTGTATATTGATCATCTTCATCCCAATCACCAGGAAGTATTCTTTCTTTATTTTCATCAAATGTTCCATCGTTGTTTAAATCAATCCATATACCTAAATATTGAGCATGATTACAGTCTATTTCAACTAAAGATGAATCTTGAATAGACGAATCTCTATTATTCCATTGTTGAATACAATGTAACTTAATGCGAAAATCATAAGGTGTATCTTCTAATAGTGTCACGACTAGATTACTTCGATCATGATAATTATTCATCGAATTGCATTGTTTATATTCATCGTTAATCTGTGTACCTTGCTCACCAACTAATTTTACTAGAGAAATACCACTATTACCATCTGAGCAGACAAGATTGCCAGGGGAACAATACGTGGCTTTGAAATCTAAAGATAAAAAGGAGTAGACTATTATTAGAAATAATACAATAAAGTGGAGAAAAGTATTTTTAGTAACAGTTGTTATCTCGATATAGACTAATGATATTCTAATGTTTTTAAGCGTATCCCATTTAGGATTGAATCATATTTTAGTACGAACAAACCTGTCGATTCATCAGTTTTTGGTTCAGGTGCGAATTGATTTATCAACTCTAAACAAAATATAGTAGTTTGCTATTTTTTGTGACAGAGAAATTAAAAGAACAACATTACCTTGATCTACTGCTTTTGGAATAATATTGACGGTATATTCTCGTGTCTCACGATAATCACTTTGACCACATTTCTTGTGATATTCTTCACTCGGCATGACAACAATGCGCATACGATATGAGCCACTTTTTATATTTTCTTCAATAGCAGGTATATCTATGTGTAAATCATAAATGCCTAATGACATAGAACTAAGTAATGGCCATCGATGCGGAACAAGACTTTCTATTTCGTCAAATATTTCGTCATGGTTAAAATCAATCAAAACATCGACATCTTGTGCTACATTGCAATTGCTCTCAGGAAAACCTCCTTTCCAATGCGAAAAACAATCTAATTGAATACGTATTCGATATATAGTATTTTCATATAAAGTAACAGCCAAATGATGTCGATTTTGATGTTCACCTAATGAAGTATGTGCCTGTATATTGTCTCGAATCTGTGTTCCTTTTTCGCCAGTCATAATAACAAGTGCAATCTTGGGATTCTTTTGAGAACATACAGCATCGCTCAATACAAGAGAAGAAGCACTGATATCACCTATAAATAAATGAAGATTTTCAAAAGTAAATAATCATCTTATTATTCTAAATCTACATGTATCCTCCAATTTTACATCAATCATAAGTAGTTTATAAGTAAGTTTAGTTAATAGGAAATTTGTTTTATCTTCTCTTTAAGTAAATTACGAGAATATCTATCTAGACAATTTTAATACTCGAAACCTTTTTTACTGATTGCAATGATTTAGATTATAGCTTCTTGCCTACATTTAATAAACGAATAGTTATTTACTTTTTTGTCTTGTGCTTGGAATAATAGAAACAGTATATTCTCGTATTTCTTTGTAGCCATCATCACCACATTTTTTGCGATACTGTTCATTCATTGTTACCATAAGTTGCATTCGATGTGGTCCGCTTGTTGTTTTCTTTGCATCAAGAATAGGTATAGATAATTGTAAATCATAAATACCTTGTGGTGTAAAACTACTAAATGGCCAACGATAAGGAGCTGCATTTTCTGAAGTATCAAATAGACCGTCATCATTTAGATCAATCCAGATATTTACATCATAAAGAACGCTACAACTGTACTGAAATAAATCATTACGCATTTGTCGACTACAATCTAGTTGAATGCGTAATTGATAGACGGTATTTTCATATAATATAATAGTATGATGTGGTTGCTTATGATTATTCTTATTCAGTATAGCATTTGCTGATGAATCATCTCGAATCTGTGTTTGATGTTCACCAGCTATTATAACAAAAATAATTTTACCAAGATGAACAGAACATTCAATGTCATTTAATACTACATGAGGAGTCGCAACATTGGCTACATCTAAAATTTATTCAAAAAAAATAATGTATCACATTCTAATTAGAATATAATATAAGAATAACATTTTCTGTCATGTTTATTCTTTTAATGTCAATTTTTATCTATACAAAACAAGGAAAAATAAATCATAGTTACCTTGATGTTCTCCTCTTGAAACAATATTAACATTATATTCACGTGTTTCATTATAATTAGAACGACCACAAATTCTTCGATAGTTTTCAGTATGCAGAACGACAATACGCATTTTATGTTGTCCAGTTGTTATATGTTTTCTATCGAGTAAAGGAATATATATTTGTAAATCGTAAATTCCTTGCGCCATATAACTTGTTATTGGCCAACGATAAAGAGCTCCAAGTTCTGCTTCATCAAATTCTCCATCATTGTTTATATCAATCCATACTTTTACATCTTGAGCAAGATTACAACCATTTTCAAATAAATCAATGTCCAATTGTGAAAGACAATCTAATTGAATACGTATCAGATAGACAGTATGTTCATAAATTGTAACATCCATATGATGTCGATTATAATTATCATTTTGTAACGTTTGTGTTGGTTGATCATCTCTAATTTCTGTTCCTCGTTCTCCTGCCATTATAACAACAACAATCTGACCAGTATTCATAGAACAAACTGAGTCTTCATCGACTGTTTCTGAAATAGCTCTATCGACGATATCTAAAACATATTGAAAATATTAGATATGATTCAATAATATTTTTTCTTATCAGTCAATCTATACATATCAATAACTAAACTTTTTTGCGGAAAAAAAATTTTATATTGCAAAACTAGAACTTCTATTTTTTTTCTCTCATAGTAAGAATTATAGATAATAATGAAATATCACATTCGAATTGAAACGTCTGTCGTAAGTGTTTTGTAAGGTAATTGAATAGTTGCCACTTTGAGGAAAACTCTATGCACAATAAAAAAAAGACAAAATTTACCTGCACTTGCTGCTTTTGGAAGAATATTGACTGTGTATTCTCGTGTGTCTTTGAAGTCAGTAGGATCACATTCTTTATAATAATTTTCCGTCGGAATTACAGCAAGACGCATGCGATGAAGTCCAAATTTTGTCATTATACTGTCGATAATAGGTATATGTATATTTAAATCATATGAATTACCACGTATGTAACTATTTGACCATGAACTATGGGGAACGAGAGTTTCTGCATCAATAAAATCATTATCATTGAAATCAATCCATACATTCACATTTTGAGCAAGATCACATTTATTATCATATGGAAATCTGGCATGTTCTTCACTACAATCGAATCGAAAATGTAGTCGATATGTTGTATCTTCATAGAATGTAATAGATAGTTGTTGCCGATTTTCATTATTCTCTGAAATATCATTTGTTTGTGCATCGTCCTCAATATGTGATCCATGTTCACCAGTTATTTGAACGTGAGCAATTTTGCCGATACTTTGATCACACTTAGACTTCTTTGATGCAATATGTGAGTCTACATCATCGATTGGATCTAATAAAATTCATAAAATCAATTAAGTGAGTGACTTATTTCATCAACAATAAAAAGAAAATGAGTAACTTACGATTTCTCACATGTTTTCTTTGTTTTACAATGGATGCTAGAGTTTTCTTTGCTTGTCTTCCTCGCATCCCTGCTGTTGTATCCAATTTTTCTTCATCTTCTTCTATTTAATAAATAATAATGAAATTATTACAAAATATCAAATTTCTATTTTACCTGTCATTTCTGTGATACTACATATTTTAATATCGATTCTTTTGAAATGATCATTATCGAATTGAATCGTCGCAGGCATTGTTAACATTTGATTGAACATAATTTCAATTTCTTTTAAAAATTGTTTTCTGCATGTTATATTTCTTTGAGAAGAACAATGATGAGAATAGAAACTAACAATATTAAATTGAAGAATATTTCCAGGTAATGGATTGTCACATAATAATCTTAATCATAATCGAAATAAAGATAAGAAAACAATGAAAGAGAATACTCACTGATGATATCTTTTTGAAAGTAAATAATTATGAAAAAAAGCATCGATAATACGAATCTTATGTTCATGTAGTTTCATATTTAACTATACAAGAATAATATAAATAAACTTTGTATAGAATGTCTTACTTGATTTGTGATATCATCGATATTTCTTATACTTAACGATTGTTTTTCGTTGTCTGATATATGAGTTGTACTAAATATGGCTCTCAAAACAATCTCTTGTATATCTAAATATATCTGATATGCGAATAGTAATGAAATGAAAGTTTATAATTAACCTTCTCTCTTTTGGATCGTAGGCATTGATTTTCGACTATTTGATATCAATTTCATAATACTAACAGTAATCAGAATTGAAAGAAATGCAATCATCAAGCAGACAATGCTGAGATGAAGGACATTACATCTACCTATCCTCCTATTAAAATCAATAAAATATCATAGTTTTGTTCCATTCATGTATGTGAAATGTATAATCCGACAATATCATTAGTATAGTTTTTCTTTTTATCTTTTACTATGATCTTACAAATAATCAAGATTATACATACGATCGTCTCGATGATTGTCCTTCTCTCATAATAACACGCATAGTTCGACCATGATCATTGAGCACCGTTGTTTCGGTCTCCATTCCTTTTATCGAACTAAATCAATAAATAAATTATAAGATACTTTATAACAAGTCTTACGTGAATTCTTCTTTTATGCGTCTCTAAACAATTTGTACTATTAAAAATATTTCAAATCTATAAGAATAAAAACTACTTAGGTCTGTATTTTCTCAAAGATGATCCAATAACGATTAACGTATAGACATACACAAATAATACTTTATGAGCTTTTTATCGGTTAATATTGATATTAAAATCTAAATTTGATACAGTTTTTGGTTATATAAATAAATTCCTTTTGACCATGACTATATTCTATAATTATTTATTTACAGAGATTATCATGATGAACTGTTGACATATAACGTATTGAATGACACGATTTCGGTAGCTCGTTTTATATGTATTAGTTAAGAGTTTATAGCACAATGTTATTACATATATTTAAATTCCCGGAACTGTATTTTTGATCCGATCATTATTAAGTTATTTTATTTGAAATGAAACTTAGCCTCTAAAGTTATCTTGAACATCACTCGTTTTTTTTTCAAATTAATAAATACCGACTAACTGTGCACTCATAAGGAACAAATTTTGCAGAAGTAATTGTTATGTATGAAAGGTTTATATGAAAAAAAAACGAAACTTTGTACTAACTAGAACTTGTCTTACTTAAAAAGTAAAATTTCTCACATATGTGTAATTTACAAAAGAGTAATAAATACAAAAAGAAAACAGAAGAGACATTGCATTCTTATAGCTTTTACTATTCAAATAATAACAATCATTGTACTTTGAAGTTTAAAGAAAAGCCTTGACAAATAATATTGAGATGTAATAATATATGTAATTGTAAGCTAATATGCTTCTTGGCATACGAAAGTAAATATGAAAAAAGAAATACTTATTTGCCACTACAGGATGTCCCACAAGTCATGCTCACTTAAGAAATCTATTTACCTTTTTAATTAATCAAACAAAAGAATTAAACTGTTTCGATATCATAGGGAAGGATAGTAAGATTTTTTTTATTCGATATTGAACAAGTTTATAAATACTGCTCAAAACTATTGTCTTTCATATCAGTACAGAAATTTCCATGTTTTCCAGTTATTAAAAGAAACATTACGAAAAGTTTTTTTACTCTATTCTTCGACTATTGTTTTATAGACATTCGTTTTGAGATGATTATAACAAAGAGAAGTCCAATAGAACTAAATCTAGAGATAGAGAAATTCATGATATTAGCCTGTCGCTTTCTGTTGGAGACATCATTAATCCAAGTATGAATTATCTATGAGAAGTGTGGAGATACAGCACATCGATTGTTAGCTGTTCGGAAGACACTACTTTCTCAAAATCAGGGTGTGGATGTGTAAGAATGAATATGAACAAATATACACGAAGAAAGTCCGTAACACACATTCTCTAAATTGATATACTCAGCTTTCAGCGACAAAATCATGAAACTGTTTTTTTGTGTGTAAAAGATAGAAGGATGAGACTGAAAAAGTCAAATGAACATTTTTTATATCTAGACTTTGTCTCAGACCTGGTTTTACTCAGTTCAGATGTAACAACCAATTGTTTCTTTTGTCATAGAGAGTTGTATCTTCTTACCTGTACATTGAAAACGTTTTTACAAAATGAAAATATGTTTATAATGCTTGTGTGCTCGTTTCTCCATACTCAACGAACAAAAGAAGTCACAGACGTCTATTTGAATAAATATACTCGAACCTTGAAGAATAAAATAGAAACGAATAAAAACAACAGTTTTCAAGCATAATGGGAGCATTTCGCATCAATAATGTTCAAGGATATCTTTTTCCTCTATCCAAAAATTTCAAATTTCTTTTTATGATTTTATCTACACGGCACATGCATTTAACTGTTCTCGATCTATGAAACACATTTTGACAATTAAAGGTTAACTTTAAAGTCGCCCACAATACACCACATTTTTATATAACAATCGGTAAAGTTCTTTTTGCATTCTATCATACCTCTACAAAAATCGAATTTCAAAACAAAACTAATTTTTTCTACACATATTAAAAAAAACTTTGAATATCCATTATTTTGTGGTGTGAATGCGGGTAAATACTATCAAAATATTTGTATAACTGTCTCAGTTAAAAATATACATAAATTGTCACTAAAGATTAGTAAATGGTATTATTGATATATTCAATAAATATATAATCATCTGAAGTAGCCTGCGTTTCATAATACAAACATTCCTTTTTTTTATTTACTTTTCATTTCAATCATTTTCATTACATAGTAGCATAGACAGAACTTTTGTCTCTTACACTCTGCTATAAACAGTTTCAATTTACAACGATATATCTAAACGTGAATCAACGAAAATCTATATCTTGTTTAAAGGATCGGTTTTTTTTTGTAGAAAGTTAATCGAAAAAAAAACAAACAGATGCAAACAATAGTATCAAATGATCGAAATATAAGAATATCGTTCACAAATTTGTAAAGAAAGAAAAAATTAGGAATAGGCAAAAAGAGAGAGAGACATTGGACTACAGTTATTAACATAGACAAATAAGAAATGATGAACACAACGAGAATAGCATAATTTATACACGAATAAAACGATAGAAAGATCAAAATATAACTAATATTGTAAACACATTTTCATCAAATAAAAGAACTATAAAATAAGAAAGAAAGAAAGAGAATTTAATCATGAATAATATGAAAATAGAATTGAATGAAGCAAAGAAAAAAAGGACATAATTATTGTTCTCTTTAGATTGACTAGTGTGTATTAATATTTCACACAAGTGTATAGAAATCTATGAATATCTCTTCTTTTTCTTCGTATTTGGCTCATCTCCATCAAGAATATTGACCGGTACATAAGCATGATACTGTTGTGTTTGATTTGGAATATCAACTTGACATTGTAAATACATCTGTTCAGCAGGTGTATCAACATTGGGTGCTAATACAACACTATTTCCTTCTTGCTAAAAATATATAAAAGAAAAAAACATAAATTATTTTCTATTCGAAATACATACATGAGCGTAATCCGGAAGACTTGTATCATGTGCATATTTACTCCAGGTTACTTTAAATTGTTCGGCACCTTTCACACGACATAAGACATTTGTTTTTTCACCACGTTTAATGTTTAATTGAGTTGGTTCAGCGATTACTTCAATATATTCTTTTGATACATGAGATTGTTCATTATTATGATTATACTGATAGTTTTGATCATCAACATCTATTACAGCACCTTAAATATAATAGTTATTCGTACGATAAGTTAAAACTAATTAATTCTATATACTTTCAAGGCGAAGATTATAGCTACTTGCTTGTGCTGCAATTTCTGGTGCACGTGGAAAACTTACTTCACATCTAAATTTCAAATCAAAAATATTTTATTTCACAAGCAAAATTTTTTTTTTTACCGATAATATCCAGCATCATGTAATTGAGCATTAAGAATAATTATTAAACCATCTGAATGTACCTCAACATCTATTTAAAAGAAAGTTTAATTTGATAATAAAAAATTCAATTTTTACTATTTGCTAATGGTTGATCATCTTTGGTAAATTTATATTCATATGGGCGATCAACATTTCCATGAACTGCACATTGTAATTGAATATTATATCCTATTTTATGATTTTGTTCATCAATTGGTTCAAAACGAACATTAACATAACTACGTGCAGTATCATGATCATTATCTCCTATAATAATTATCAATAGTATATCAGAGAAATAGAAATATGCACAGTAAAGTAGATGAATACAACCAGAATACAAAAGCATTAATTGAAGTAAAAATATAAAGCGTTAAAGCATCTCCTCATGTAGTAAAAACAAATATAAGTTCATCATATTGAGTTGTTGTCCATGATAATAATTCGTTGAATTCTTCAATATTTATTTAATTGATACACAAAAAAGAATAAAAGACTTATTATGGTTAAAAAGCAAAAGCATTTTGCAAACAACCAACAAAGTTATTAAAATCGTACTTACCATTTTCATGTTGCTGATCAACTAATAGATTTAGAGAAAAAAAAATTATCTACGAAAATTAACAAGTAGTATTCTTACATGATTCTTGCCATTGAACATAAATTGTTGATGATGCAGTACCACCAGTATTTGTGACATCAAGAGTATATTGTCCGGCAACATGACTTGATTGACCTTGAATATGTAATGCACCATCATTATTTATAGTTACACCATGTGGGAGATCGATTGATCCATCTTTTGACCATCTTATTACGGCTCCTTTGCCTCCCTAAACATAATGCATCGATTTTAGAATAAATAAAAATTTTCCTATTACAGAAATATTAGGTATAATATCGATTGTTTGACCATGACTAAGTTCATATTGATCTTGTTGAAAACGAATTTGTGGTACCAATTGAATACGAGAACGACGACGTCTTGGTTCAACATAGATTTGTAATTGTTTGGTATCTTCACCATATATATTACGTACAGTAACTTGATAAGTACCTGCTACATCTAGTGTTGCTTTATGGAGAATAAGACGATCTTCTTCAATCGTAAATATTGATGGCATTGATTCATAACCTTCCGCGGTTACTCTAGTCCAAATAACTTCAATTGGTTTCTGTGCCTAGATATGTTATAAATAAAACACAATAAATAAATCTTATTTTATTTCATTTGACATACATTAATTTTATATGGAACAATGAGACGTTGACCTTCTTTTAAAGTAGCTGAATTAGGTTCAAAACGTATTTTTAATGGACCTCCTGAAACAAAACAAACGGAGTCAAAATAAGATAATAAAGTTTTGGTTCACATACGTGTTTGTGGTTTTTCTGTGGTCTTTGATTTTTCATCTAGAATATAAAAGTAAGATTACAATCAATTTTTATATTTTATTTTAACGTACGTTGATCTGGAGGATGCGTTCTACCAGCTTGATTGTTATGTGTATCTGAAAGTATATCATCTGAATAAGAGTTGTTTAAAGGAAAATTATAAACAAACCTGGATGATCTAAGGAAATAATAATATGTTGAATACTTCCATCCTTATGAGTGATTGTACATGTATATTTTCCAGCTTGTAAAGCTGATGGGTGTTGAATAACAAGGTCATTACCATCTTGAACAACACCCGTAGGTAATGAATTATCACCCGTACGACTCCAAGAAACGGATATTGGATGAATATCCTAATACAGATAATATAATTCAATATATAAAATAAAATTATATTGATTATTTACCGGAATTGGAAATGGAATACGTTGTTCTGATTGACTATCATCTAAATCAATATGAACTAGTACTGAGTCCGATTCATCTTGTGGTACTTTATTGACATAGGGTTGAGTTTGAGTGTTTGTTTCATGAAATTGATCTAAAATAATCTATAGATTTAATTTCATTGAAAAAAAAATGATTTTTACCTTGTTGATCTTCATTGATTTGTATACATTGTCTACCTCGCGAGTCAAGTACATAACCTGGACGACATCGTTCACATCGATCACCTTCACTATTACCTTGACAATTCTATTGATAAAGAAACATACTAATATTAATTTCTAAGAATATAGAATACATACTGAACATTTGCCAGTATCTTGATCACATTGATCTGATCGTTCATGACATAATGATCGACAAGACCAACATTGTCCTAAATTATTACCACATAATGGACATACACGACCATAACCTTGAGCACATTTTTCACAGGATGAACCAGTATAATTAACTGGACAATGACATTGTTCAACTGTGGGTGCAGCAGTCATATAACCATCACGAGCAGCAATATTTAATGTAACCTCTCGAAGACTAAAATTGACAATAGTATAGTAAAAAAAAACTATGTTAAATTTAATCTTACACAGCATTACGTTGACCACCGATTGGATTTATTTTTATAAGAAAAGTATCTATATTCGATAGAGCCGTAAGAAGCTTTTCGCGTTTCATAGATCTACCATCTTTATGTGTAAATGTTCTCTAGGATAAATAAAAATACTCGATAATTTTTCTAGTACTTTCTACATTTATATTTATACCTCATTAAGTTGTATCGAATACATAGCGTCTGTATTGGCTTTGAATCGTTGTGTCGAAGGAAGTTTATGAATAAGATCGATATTATTACCACGTAACCAAATAAAAGCATCATTACTAGGTGCATCATTATCGTTTCCATCATTAGTAAAATGAATATCAATAGTACCATCGTATAATGTAATAAAATTACCTAAAAGTTCTTTTGGTGCTTTCCAATAAAGAACTTCATGAAGTGATCGATCTAATGAATTTTGATTAAGAGCTATTTCACGTCCATGATTGCGTCTTTCAATTTTATTGCCAGCTTGATATGAGTCAGTATCAAAATTTTGTGGTACAGCATTCCAATCATTTAGTGAAAGAAAAATCTAATAATAAAAATAAATTAAATAAAAGATTAAGAAAACAATACATACTGGTTTTCGTTTCCAATCTGTGGATGTACATTCAGTTTCTATACCAGAACAAAAGCATGATAAACAACCATCAGGTGTTATTGGATTTAGATAAAAATGACCACTTTTACATTGATCACATCGATCTCCTTCAACATTACATTTGCAATAACAATGATCGTTACATTCTACCATTGTACCCGATGCATCACAATCTATTTAACGATAGAAAATAAATTATACTTTTTTTTAGATATAATTTAAGTACGAACTCGACGAAAATTTGTTAAAAGGCGTTGACGTGGGTGAAGTAGAAGCTGGACCCGTTGGTATTAATGGTCCGCCAGGTCCTAATGGTCCACGAGGTCCTGATGGTCCACCAGGTCCTGATGGTCCACGAGGTCCTGATGGTCCGTCAGGTCCCGATGGTCCGCCAGGTCCTGATGGTCCGTCAGGTCCCGACGGTCCGTCAGGTCCTAATGGTCGTATTGTTATTGGTTTTAGCGTTGATGTTGCCGTTATTGCTTTTACTGGTGGTAGATAGACACATGGATATACCTGTGATTTATCACTAACTGATATTATATATTAAAGAAACAAATTAATAATATATTTTGTCTTATGATCAAGAAAAAAAATACAAACCATTAACATGAACAATAGCATCGGGAACAGCAAAAGTAAAACCTTGATTATTAAGTGCTTCACATGAATAAGCACCACCATCATTTGGATAAACATACCGAATTGTAAGTGTACCAATAACAAGAGTTGGATCATTAGGATCAGAAGATTGTGTCATAATACATCGATCATTCTCAGGACATTCAGTACAAATATGTCCCCAATTGAGACGCCAATTAACATATGGTGCTGGTGAACCACGAACAGTACATTGAAGAGTTACTGTACCACCAACACCGACTTCAATTTGACGTTGTGGTGGCGAAATAATTGTTGGTTTAGCTTGATAAAAAAAGATTTGCAATAAATAGAAGAATATTCCTTATTTTATGTTAACACTTACCACAACCAATTTCATCTGAATGATCAGGACAATCATTGAATTTATCACATTGAAATGAACGTGGAATACAGACAAGATTTCCATTTGTACTATTAATATTATTACCACATTGAAATTCATTTGTTTTACAATAACGTTGACGAGGAATTAAGTCTAGAGTGCAAAAAAAAAGAAAATATTTATAAATAAACTTAACGTATTTGTTTCTTTATTTAAACGTACCACAATAGCGTTGCTCTTCATCGCTTCCATCATCACAATCCCTAAAATCAATTATATTCATTTTCAAGTATGTTTTTTTTTGTCTTGAAAATATTTTTGTTACCGATCACCATCACACATCCAAAATTTTTGCGCACATTTTCTTCCTCTGCCAGGTTCTGAACAACGAATTTCATTCGGTTGACATTCACCACCATCTGAAAATTTCAAATAAAATCAATTTACTATTCATATATAATATAAACAAAACGAATGTATAAAAAAGAAAGAAAGAAAAGAAAGTTCCTACTACTTCTATTAAGTGGTACATGTCAAATAAAAAAAGAAGTTAAAAACTTACGACTACATGTTTCATCACTATTATCACCACAATCATTTTTACCATCGCATACTGATGTACGAGGAATACATTTACCATTAACACAAGTAGCTTCTTCATAACTACATCCTCCAGTTTTAGTAGGAACAACTAAATTCGAAAAATTTATTTTAAATTTAGCCTTATCGAATAGTTTACCTGATGCAGAATTTGATGCTTAAGAAATAAAAATAATTGATTATTTAAATTATTATATTTGTATTTCTATTTACCTTGAAATGTCAGAATACTATTAGCATCTGTATAATCACTATTTGGAATCGTACAACGATAATTGCCTAGATAAGATTGTGAAATTGGACGAATGTGAAGAATTTTATTTTGTGGTGAAAATGGGTCTTTGTTATTAATAAGCTGAAAAAATGTCATAAATTTATCTTATTTTATAATTAAAAAAGCAAAATAAGTACATACATGATTATTAAAATACCATTGAATACGATTTTCATCTTCTCGTGTTGCACCTTCACATTGAATATCAACATTATCACCTTCAGACATATCCGGTACAATAAGACGTAATTGTCCTCGACCGCCATTCGCTTGAAAACAAATTGAATATAAAAACGAAACTTTTCTTTTTTTGTTTAAACTCACATGTAGGAACAGGTAAAGCTTCTTCTTGATGTACTGATGGTGGAATAGAACCACTACCTTCTTGTAGAGTAAGTTCAGCTGAAGCACTCTTTCCAGTATTTGTTTGTGCCATACATGTATATGTACCAAATTTACTTGGATCATCAAGTGTAATATGTGATGTTAATGTAATTTGTGACGCTGTTATTTTTTTATCATTCTCAGATGCTGGATTTATTAAAGCATGACGCTAAAAATAATTCAGAAAATAAAATAATTGAAATAGCAAATAGAAATAGTTTTACTCGTTCAGGTGTTTCTTGAATCCAGTAAATATTTGTTGTTGAATCACCACCATAAACAGTACAAGTTAATTCAATTGTTTGACCACGTTGAGCTTGACGAGTAGTTGGGTTGACAACAACGTTAAATTCAACTTGATCATCTTCCTCTGCTTGTGCTGGTGTTTGAGTATCATCGTCTATTGAATAAGAAAAATCAAAGTCGGTATTTAAAAACTATATAATATAAATTTACACTTGCCTTCTGATTCAGTAGCTTCTGTTGGATTTTCTAAAAGTCAAATGAGAGAAAACAATAAGCAACCAATAAAAAAAACAAATAGTTTTGACTTATGTCTTCATTAATGAAGAAAAAAAGCAAATCAATTAGTAAGCAATAAATATGATGAATTTATCAGTTAATCTCTTCTTTTTTTTCATTCATGTTTTTGGAGTAGATTTATCTTTATATGGTCATAATCATGATCACGATTGTTAGATACTTCAGTTGAATATTATGTTTGCTTGTCTTTTTCAAATTTGATCATCAACAACTACTAGTTGTTCATAGACACATACAGTTCATAAAACGTATATAAAATAAAAGTCATTCTTATGAGAGAAGAAAACCGACACATGCAATAAAAGTATACAGCTGAGCAAAATTATGATACGATTGTTGATAACAGTTGTTGTTAAATCAACAGCAATAAATATATCTGTAACTTTTGCTATTAAGACAATCATAATGCTATCAATAAGTGATGGTAGAGTAATAGCCTTATCTTCAATGACTATATAGTATTTATGAACATTTATTATTAGTAAAGAAGCAATAAGAAGTTGTTAGTAATAAAGAAGAAAACAATTTAATTATAATTATTAAACCGACAAACAATATATAACATAATAATCTTCTGTAAGTCTTACCATCAGCAACAGCATCGGCATCAGCTAAAATGAAAATAGAAAGAGTCAATTAATCATTTATTCAAGAAAAAACCACAAAAGTTCTCAATAAGCAAAAGCAGGCAAATATAGATAGATTTAAATAAATAAAACGGATCATGTTATTTGATACATTCGTTTGTATGTCATCACCACACCTTGTCGAGTAAATATTGATATTTCTGGAAGAGTAGTATCATCGAACTCAGTTGTATCTAGTGATATATCCGTCTGATAAGTTCCATACATAGTTATGTCTGAAACCATAGTAGTTGCTAAAGATCAATGATTTTTTTATTTCGATAAAACTTATTTTATCAATATACTTACCACAATTAAATTCGTCTGAACTATCAGCACATTCTGGATGTTCATTACATAATATAGCACATATTCTATTATGATCTCTACAAGGTACCATTCCTTCGGGACAAATATCGTCTATTGACAGGAGAAAGCATGTAGCAGAAGAAAAGCACGAAGAAATCAATTAACGCATATATATATACACGGTTTATTAGATTAAGAGGGATAGCATTGTAGTTTTTATAAACATGATCTTACTTTCTTCATATTGTCGTTTAAATCTTTGTCTTGAATCGAGTTGAATGGAAGCACTCTAGGATAAGAAAATATATCAATTATCTAGTTTATAGTATACAAATTTTTTTTCCTTACTTGTGATATTGAGATATATGTCATAAAATAAAAACACAGGAATAATCCTATGATTACTTTAGGATCCATTTAAAGGTCAACCAAAATCAAATAGTATCAAAAGAAAACTCTGAAAAAAAATGAAATGAATGAATCTCTTAAATATACAACTTATTCATTAGCAAGAATAAAAAAAAAAATTTCTTTTATATGATTATCAATAATAAATAATTCAATTTCTTGAACATATCACCTTTTTCAAAAGATTAGAATTTGATTTACATATATGCATACATAAACACCTCTTTTATATATATATTAATGCAGTAAACTACTATTATAAAAGATCGAGTTGAATATTAGTAAAAAGAAATCAAAGTATTTTATTGACTTAATTCTCTCTTACAAACCGCTTTTATTTATACTGTCAACTTACTGATGGTGTTAAAAAGAAAAAGGAGAAAAACATGATGTGACGACGCTCAAATAGCAACACATTTCTTTTTTTATTGAAATGTTGATGTAATAGAATGTTTGTGCTTCTGTCTATAGAATGTTAGGAGCTATATTTAAAAAAAAATGAAATACATTATTTAGCAAGTTATATTTTCATACAAACTAACCATTGCTTTAGGCTACAAATAAAAACCAAAATACTATTATGTATTATTCGTGTGCTTATGGCTGCTTTGTTTCTAATGTATGTCGCGTCGCATGGCATGATGTAAATTAATCGAGTTGTTTGTTGCTTCAATATTAAATCTGGAGAAAGAAGAGAAGACTTTTAATAACATTTTTATTCATAAAAAAAAATCATTTACTTGTATGACCTTCAATTCTCGTTCGTTTTAGAAGGGGACATTCAAGGTGATAGAATAGTTGGAATAATAAGTAAATATGAAACTCTTTTTCAATGTATTTTCATTTTATTCGGACATCTAATGAATACTTAACTGTTAATCGAAAAATTTCAATCGATAATTAATCTTATAAATAGATCGAAAATGATTTTTCAATCGAAAATAGTATATATTTATTTTCTTTTATATTCGATTTCGACGATTGAATAGATTAAAATTTTTTTTTTGTTTTCGATTGTTGTGCTTGAATACATTAAACTTTTTTGTATTCGATTGTGACATGTGAATAGGCTGAGTTTTTTTGTTTTCGATTATTGTGGTTGAATAGAGAATCAACTGTTTTTCTGCTGCTCAGCACCAACATCTCAAGAGATTCAATCTTTTTTTGTTTTTGACTGCAACAACTGAAATTTTTTATGGCTTTGTTAGAAGTTTCTTTAGTTTCATAAAAAAAAAAGATTATCCATTACAAAAGAAGTAGTGAGGACATATGTATTAAAAAATGAATGTTTGAAAAAAAAACTGTATTTTTCTAATCAGATAAGCTGATATTAAAAAAATACAAAATCTGCCTAACAGCTTACTGTGCAGAATTCTCTAAACTATAGTAAAATAATATGCGATTATTCACACAATCTTTTATTAGGATTCAAGATCAGCCATAATGAATGAGATGCTAAGATCTTTAAAATTTTATTATTGTATCAAATACATGTTTTAAGTTTCATTTTGATAGTTTTTGAAAACTTTAAAATTACAAAGACATTCTAGAACTCTACAAACTTCTTCTTGTTGTACGAATAAAAATATATATCTTATCTGCAAAGTTCTATAGAATCGTATAGATTATTGTATCATTATAAAAATGAAGAGTTTATTATACTTGCCACGAAATGGAGTTCTAAACTCTAAAGAATATAAAAGATTTCTGATTATTATCATTAAAAGTAGTGATATATATCACATAGTGTGTAGACTGAACTTAAAAATCGATGTGTAATCTTGTAAATATCAACAGAAATACTATTACAAGAATTTGGAAAACATACAATCACTGTTTCTCATTCCTATTATAATCAATCTTCGTTATTCTCTTCCAATAACATCCTAGTACTACACTTAACAGCCGATAAACATCTTTTTTACTTTAAGCATTATGTGATTTGTGGAATTAAAAACTTGACAGTCTACTTAATATATCATCTACGTGCTTGTACGAAGAAGAGTAGCTATGTCATAGATAGTATGTCAAAATGCTTAAGACTTTGAAAGATCGTCTATTTCTAAGGATACAAAAGATGTATGATAATCTGTATATCAACTTTTCAAAGATATTCAAAGATCTTCTTTTCTTCTGAAATAAAATAGATCGATGGATGAATTTTCGATCGAGAACTAGTAACGGTATACAGTACAACATATCAGTAGTATAACTCGATTGCCGTAAGGTATATAATAGTTTATAAATGGTCCATGTCTAATTACCACTTATGTACTATATTCTAAAACCGCTATAGGTGAGTAATGTTTACACGTCCTACTATACCGTATATAGGTCGTATTACTGGAGTATGTTAAAGTCAATATCAATTATTTATTTGGTAAAAACGTAAGCGTCAACAAAAATCTAGATCAGGGAAATTTTATGACTTTAGTCAATTTAACTATTAGATCAATAAATTTGTTTTCTTTCTTATGAAATTCAATTTAATCGCTAAAAAAATTACTAATATTTTCAAGATAGATAATCAAAAATATCCTATGCTTATGAACAAGATATGTCGTAGACATAATCACCTGATTTTAGTTCTAAATATGCCCTCTAGGATACGAAACGAACACGATTTCCTACGATATTAGATATTGATGTTTATAAAATACACCATACCTAAGATCAAATGTCATGTAACACAATATACTTTGTAATAGTGATATTTAGATGGAGTTCAAATTTCACAAATAAATGCAAATTTCATAAAATAATTCTGATTGGTTGCCAATAGATTTCACTGACCAAGTACATTCCAATTGATAATTTTTTTGTAAAAATTGGCATATTCTAAATAAAAATATGGAATCAAATCAAATCTTTCTTTAAAAGTAAATTTACTCTTTTTGTCTCCATGTGCGCTCATATTTCTCTATATTATTTCATAGATTATAGGCTTATAATACTTAACTGAAAGACAATCATTTCATTTCTTTGCATTACTTATGTTTGTCTATATATATATAATCATAAATCATAACATAAAAATACGATTGTTTTTAAAGAAAAACTAATGTTCTCTTCTCTGCATTCTCATTGAGTACACACAAAAAAAATTCTAAAAACAACTGCAGTTAACAAAAATTGAAGGCTTTCTTCATCTGAATTCATTGGGCTTCTTTTTTTTATATGTACACAGCACCTGCATATGTGGATATAGTCGACGAATCTATCAGACGTTATTTGTAAAACTGACGTCAGCGATGATTCAATAAACAGTACAACGAAATTTTAAAAAGTCGGTAGTAAAATTATAGAAAAAACTTTTTTCCCAGAAAGAGAGAAAGAATAATGAAACAACTCATTATCATTTTAAGTCTTCATTTTTCGTAAAGAGACTTCAAAAAAAGCATTAAAAGTTTCTCTCGGATATTGTGGTTTTTAATTCAAATACAACGAGTGACTGTGGTTTTGTTATCAGAAATTACAGTTTCTTACCATTGCTTAAAAGATTTTTGGTATCACATGAACATATGATTTTAATGCCTATGCTCTTATTTTTTATAGCTGACGAACAAAAAAAAACCGTATAATGAAGTCATAGACGTCTATTTGTACAAATATACTCGAACCTTGAAAGAATAAAACAGGAATGAATAAAAATAATAATCTCTAACCACAATGGAAACGTTTGCATCGACGATATTCAAGGATATCTTTTTTTTCTCTCATTTCAAAGTTTTCAAATTTCTTATTTTTGTTTTATCTGCACTATACATATTTAAGTGTTCTTTACCTATGGAGCATTTTATAAATCAAAAGTCACCTTTGAAGTTGAAAGTAAACGAAGCTAGTCAAATTTTTTCGTTCTATAAAATCAGACTTTGACATAGAAGTTTTCAAAATTCCTCGTGTATATATGACGGACTTCTCGAAAATATTCTCATTGAAGATGACCGTATTATTGGAAAAATACGCGATTGGCAAGAAAGATTATTACGAATGTACAATTTTTTGTTTTTCAAATGAGATAAAAATAAACAGTTTGTTTTTCTTTCTCAACACTGTCAACACAATTAATGATCAACATCTTTTCTGTTTTTTATTTAGTCTTATAATTATTATGCCGTACTCTCATCAGTTTCTTTTCTTTGCATTTTTCTTCATCGATAGAAACGAAAATCAGATTTCAAAATAATACGAAACAAGAGAAGATATTGTTATAACGGTCTCAATTAAAAATCTATGACTAAGTGCATATATGTACGATGTCCTTATCGTTCTTGCAGTTGTATATGATTTCGTTTAGGTATCAAGAACATTACATAAATTGTCACTAAAGATTAGTAAATGGTATTTTGATTACCATTGATATATTCAATAAATATATAATCATTTTGAAGTAATATAAATTACAAAATAAAAAATTGGTTCTTTTTATTCTCCTTTTCAGACATTTTTCATTGATAAATTAGCAATTTTTTCATTACGTAATAGTATAGAGAGAAAGGGAGAGTATTCGTCTTTTGCAATCTCTACTGTCTATCGTGTGTAATACTAATAGAAGATGATGGAGAACATATGAAAAAAGAAAACGATTCGACGTACATTAGTAACGTCATAGTTGAGTCAAATGTATGTTCTTATAGCTGATAAAAAATATTTGATATAGTTTTATGTATTAAGTAATGAGAATAAAAAATGAGTCGATTTTGATGTAGTTAACAATCTTTACATTCTTTTTCAAAGAAATTTTAGAAATAGAGTAAAAAATATGTTTCTATTCAACATTATTTTCAACTTGCAATACTTCTACACTGGAAATATCATACTAATTGTGTTCAGAATGTTATTAGAAAAGATAAGACAATTTTTGAGTAAAGTCGAGTATAACTTTTACACAGGTAATCGTTGTTATCGTTCATAAATGATTGAATGCACAAAAAGAGAAGTTCAACTTAAGTGATAGATGTATGCTCTGGATATTGTTGTACAACATAATGTCAAGTTTGTTGGAAAAAATATGTTTTGGTGTTTGATGTTTAGCTATCCTGTCAGATTTGACACCAATTTTCAATTGTTTGACAATTAATCTTCATCAAAATATACATTACTGTCCTATTCTTTCTTGACTTCTTCAATAGGATTGTTTCCTTCATAATAATTCGAAATCGTGAAACAGAAGACCATGACTGTCATCTCAATTTGTACTACGTTCTATTTTCTCTTCTTTTTTCCGCCCTTCTAAAGGTTTATTATCAAGTATCATCGTTCATCTCTGAATTTGAACCGTATGACAATTGCATTTATCCATCATTATAGTAGCTCTTGAATAAAATCATGTTGTGATACATATGATGGATGTTAACAAAACCAAGCGACAATATATACTTGATAGGTCATAATTTGTATCACTCTTTCTACTGTAGTTATTTTTGTATATGATATGTCATAATGAGTATAGATCGATGGCAACAAGAAATAACACATTTCGCGACTGCTTCGACATTTAACAGAGAGCAAGAAACTTCTCTCGTTATAGTAATATAATCATATCTAATTTGTAATTAACGAATTGCAAAAGGGACTTATCTAAGTACATTCTTCAGATAATTATAGTCTCATGTCAGTTTATAAATCGAATAAATCTTATTTAATTATCATCATTGAACACATGAAACTACAAGAAAGAAAATCAAAGATAAACTTATAAATAAAAATATTCTTCCTTGAATAAACGTTGACATCTTTCATATATAGCAACATACAAATAAGAGTCGTTTATCTATCCTGACACATACTGTATTAATGTCATCCTAATCTGTAAGGAAATAAAACAAAATACGAATCATTGTGATCAGAATTCGATTGGTGTGGGTGTTTATTTGTTCAATTAAAATACTTTTTGTTGATCTATCTGATTTATTTTTCTGGCTATTAGACATATACTAAATTGATGGAATCGAACTGATGAAAGAAAATGATGATCGATTATAGCTGATAAATCTTTTATTGATAAGAGATAGCAATGAACAGTTTAATACTATTATGTAAAAGTTACAAATAGGAATTGGAAAAGAACGAACATGAAGATGATTATGAAAAAATAGATTCATATCATAATAAAGCTTTTTTAAATATGTTAAAAAGCTTAGCTATCAGATTATTATCAGTTGAGTGCTGTCTACAACGATTTTGATACTTCATACATTACTTTTTAGTTGTTACTCTTATAACAACAAAGATGTAATATATAACTACATCGGAAATCATTCAAAAATATTTTATTATCCTTAAAAAGAACCGCTCGAAATTACTCGGATAAATCTAACTTAAAATGATCTTGATTTGACAATTATATTATTATAATATTAGTCATTTGTATGACACGATACAGCGTCAACAGAGGCGTTATATGAATCATCTTGTCAGAGCGTTCAAAAAGTTTGTCTATTACGTAAAATTTAATAAAAGATATACTTGTCGCTAGCAATTTGTCATTAAATGTCATTTACAATAATGTACGAATGAGTCATGATAAGTTAACTAAGCAAGCACTGCAGTCTTACAATAAAATGACGTCAAATTATGGATAAAATGTTTTTCTTCGGATCACACTCAGATTTGGGATCATCATACATCCTTTAGTTCTTGTAAATGAAGACCATAGGATCGCGATCATTAAAAAAACTGACATACAGCGTCATCTATTTCATATGATAAAAACCAAATATTTAAATACTTTCGAAAGCCAAGATGAGATTGTGATAAAAATCTATAAAATATATCATAAATTATTTATTTTTATTTTTATATCAAATTCCTAAACCAATCACAATCCAGAGTATTTTTCTTCTTTTTTTTTTTGTTTCATTGGTTTTCTATTCATATCTATAATTGTGACTAGACAAGTTCTAAATCAATATGGCATCTCTTATTAAGTATGAAGAAAATCTTTATTAATTAAAACAAGAATTCATTTGAATATTCTACTTTAGATTGGCAACAAAATTAGCGATTGTCGGAGGTGCTACTGTACTTGTTGTTAATCACGAAGTATTTGGTGCGAATAAATATACTCAACAAATCATCAATGAAGTTCGTACAAAATTACCCGATACAGCTGAAGCTTTCGATCAAATTCCTACTAAACAAGAACTTAATAATAGTCTTGTGGAAAGTTGGAATTCCGGTATGAATAGTTTTGCTTTTTTTATTTAATTTTCCATTGAATTATTTAAAATAGGTGTTCAAAAAACATTTAAATGGATTGCTGATGCACCAACACACACATCTCAATTAGTTTCTAGTGTCTCAGACAAAATCAAAGGCTAACAAGAGAAAAAGATCAATGGTAGTCAATAACAGTTAGTGTGTGTGTGTGTGTTGTTTTTTTATGATCTTTAATATATATATTAGAGGAAGAATTCTTTTTTATTGTATTTATTTATTTTTCTTATTGGATGAGAATATTCTTTTGCATCTGCATTTGTTGATTAGATGTGTATACAGGGCGCAAAATATTGTTATTGTATACTATATCATCGGGGCTAAGGGGTCGTACGTCGAACACAACAGAACAACAACAACATCGATAGAATGCTATTCGTTGTGGCAGTTTGTTTCTTCTCTCTCGTCTTCGTCTTGTCTTATTTTCTTTTCCTCTCTCTCTCTCCCTCTCTCACTCTCACTCCATCGTTCTATCCAAGCAACAACATCAGCAGCAGCTTCATGGCAACATTCGAGCAAGAAAGAGCGAGTCAAGATAAACAATATTCGTATATGCATACGCGAATCTAATTCTTCTTTTTTTTTCTTCTTCTCCTTTCTCGTTTGAAAATTTGATGCATCTGTTGTTTTTTTTTTTCTTCTTTCCTTTTATTCTTCTATGTGTTTGCTTCGCCAAGCAACATACACATAAATAACAAGCTTTGACCTCTCTTTCTTCGGTTTTTTATACGAGAAAGAAAAGAAGAAAAAAAAAGAGGTAAAAAAAACGAAGAACGGACAAACAAGCAAGCAAGCAGTCATCATCGACCTAAAAGAGAAAGCATAGTCGGAAAAACAGCCATCTGTCAGTCGTTTTATTGAACGCGTGTTGAGTTTATGTGTGTGACTATCGCAAGCAAGCAAGGAAGGAAAAGAATAATAATAACAAGCTTTGATAGAAGAAGAAGAAGAAAAAAAAATGTCTCTCACCCAACTCAAAGCATGGTTGAACTCGTCACCGATATTGTTTTTATTTTTTTTTTCTAGATTATCGTTGGATGAATTTTTTTTTCTTTTTCTTCTTCTTCTTCTTCTCAATATAGAATGAGAGTAACAACAAATCGAACATCAAAACTTCAAACAGCAACACGTACGAAAGCATCAACAACAACTATATTGAATGAACAAACAGGCCATTTACAAAATGGTACAACTATAGTTTCACCAACATCATCGAATAATGTATGATTTTATATTTAATTGATTGAATAAATTTTTTTTCAATTATTTTATTTTTTTAGAGTTCACTTCGTTTAATTGATTCAGGTGATTATTTATCAGCAGCAGTTTCTCCACAACAGCATCAACCTGTAACAACATCAACGATGCTTCAATATTTACAACCATCACCAACTGCAATACAAAATATGCTTATTCAACAGATATTAACAAGTCCCGAACAGGTACATTGATCATATGATGCAACAGGTCAATCTATATACGTTATACATTAACCATCTTTCCCTTTTTATTATTATCAGGTAGGCAAATGTCTATGAAGCCTACAATATCTGTCTCTTCATACATAAGCAGTGAACACTATAGTTTGCTTTCTCATTTTTTTTCTCTCCCCTCGTTATTTCTTTTGACGGCGTGTTCGTCGAACGACAAACATCGCGCAGGACGTTGAAATGTAGTGTTCGCTTGTAAGGACGGCCAAAAAACAACATACCGCACACACACA